TCAAAAGCAACAACTACAACAACAAATGGAAGCCAGGAACAAAGGAATAATGCAGCTCTCAGCCACATTAAAGCTTTCGCACAGTTCTGCAAGGAGTAAGGAAGGCAAAATTCATTACCAGAGGCTCACTGTACCACGACTCAGGGCAGTTTGCAATGACATCACTGATGAAAGGAGAAAAGGGGAAATAGTGGCACAACTGGTTGCGTTTGGTGACGAAGAAGAGCAATGTTTCAAGCTGGAAAACGCAATTCAAGATGGGAATACACAGCAACTCCGACTCATACCTTCAAAGACTGTCAAAGTTTTAGTTAATTTTTTTTGTTTGTTTTTCTTATGACCTATTTAGCCAATCATGTATATTCAACTTTCATTTTCTCCTAAACTGAGAAGTCTGGAACTGAACTGCTGAAGCCTCAGAAGTTACAGGTGATACCTTATCAAGTGCAGACCATGAAAACTGAAGTGCTTGCTGTCCAGCACCTAATAATTTAAAGTACTCTTTGTATTAGGCCATTCTAGTTGAGGCTTGATGTTTTTTTCCTGTCTCAGCTGGCTGTTTGTCAGTGTATCAGTAGGTGGCAGTCATAGATGATCCTGCACAATTTCTGCTTCATAAAAGAAATGTAGGAAGGAAAAAAAAGCCTATTTTAGTGTAAAGTTTCTCCTTTTGTGCGTTCACAAATATAAGTGGTGAAAATCTACTTCATGCCTCATACATACATCTTCCTATAACAGACAGAAAAGTTCTTCCCATAACAGTTCTGGTATTTTTTGATGTACTTAATTTAATCATGTCATAATCCTGAATTAAATCAGATGCAAATATGTAATGTATATTTCAAATACCACTTTCCCCAAAGATTAAATATGCAGATGCCTTCAACATTTCATATAGCACTCTGGTAATTTTGCCTGCTGTTTTTCACACTTCATAGTACTGTTTAAGAAAGTGTAATGACTTAAACTCATTATTATTGCTTTTCAATACAAGAAACCTCTATTTCTAAGGAACCATCCCTTCCCCACATCTCCTTTAGTCTCTTTGAAGAAAGAAATCCAGCAACCCTAAAGATTAGCCATAACCATAGCATTTTCTAGGACAGGATGGATACAGATTTTTATCTTTGTTCAACAAGAATATAGGAAGGCTGATATTCCAGGTCTTTCCAAAGTCCATTTTTTGTTACTCCGTTCACAAAAGAAATTCAACTCAATAAACAATTACTGCATTAATGTTCCTGACTGTTCTTTCCTTCTGCTACAGTTAATGGCATTGTTGTAAGTCACTGCAATAAAATGTCATTGTCTCATTATACCCTGACAGGTTCTTTGTTACCATGCCCCTCAGAACTTCCTGGTAACAGTTCCTGCATTTATCTTTGTGTCACTGACAGCAAAGTTTGTATTTATTTTAATCCGTAGTGTAACATAGAATAACTTAAGTTTACCACCATTTGTTCTTCTATTTTCTCCATAGACAAGCTTAAAAATCCTACTTGCTATTGGTAGCCCAGCAGCCTGCTGCTAATTTAACACATGATGAAGAAAACAAAGAAGAGAAAATTGATGTATAGTAGAGTAGGTATAACAGTCAGAGAGATCAGCGTGATGGAAAGGTAACACAAGACACATAATGACTGAGGGACTAACAATAGAAACATGCTAAAAGGGAAGGAAAAAAAAGGACTGCTCACTCATCTCCAGGGAATCCATGCCTACAGATAAAAACTTCACAAGACCAAGAACTCCAACCAGAGATCAGTCAGCCCTTAAATGATGTCTAAGAGAGGTGCAGCCGAGCTCCACCCTTTCCAGTCACACAGCTGAATTGCCTTCACCTGTGTTCCCAGGGCTGACCGGGTCCTTTCCCCAGGTGCTCAATCAGTGGTTCAGGCTGTAACTCAGCAGTTACCATACAGTAGGAAATAATTTCAATATCAAAATGATTACATTTTAAGTTCAACATCAAACAAGGAGATTAATCTAAGGAATGCAAACCAGCCAGCCCTACAGATGATATTGATACACTATAGTTTACTATACCATATATATATAATATAATACATAATACATATAATCTACCTTTGGGAATTCTTATTTCATCACAGCACAAACACAAGGAAGAAGAATATGAAGAAAAGCTTACTAACAACATTGAAATTTCTTCAATCCAACTTCTGTTCCATGTTTCTCATTACATGAGATGACAACTGCAATGTTGTCTCACACTTAACAGTGAACGTGCATTATTCTCTGGGCCTGAAATACACAGTAATACTTCTATTTGCATATGAAATAAAGCTCTGAGAGATGAATGCAACACTAGAAGGGTAAATGGCCTGGTCTTGCTCTCACTGAAGGTAGTGGGAACCAAATCAGATAGTTGAGCTTCTACCTCTAAAAAACCTTTCTGTTGGACAAAGCCATATTCTGAAGGGATGTTTTTTATTGTTTTTTGAAAACATGTTGTACTTCATGAAGTTATATGCACCTACTTTTAGAAAAATCTTCAAGAAATTTTAGGTATTCGTTTGTAGAGTTTGAGGTAAAATGTTTGAGCATATTTGAAACTCAAACATCAATAGCAGATTAGCTAAATCAAATGTCAAAGCAGCAAAAAATACAATAGTGAAAAGGACATTTTATGGTTTGCAGGAGTAAGAAGAAATTTCTTCTAAATGTTGATCTTTGGACCAAGTTGGCATAAAAAAAAGAAAAAAGAAAAAACCAACAGATGATGTCCTTTACATTTGTGGGACAGTATTTTGATCCTAAATGATCCAAAGTTGTTAAAATTATTTAAAATTATTATCATCCTTCAGGTTTCTTTTTTACCAGTTTTCCTCCCAGCAGTTTACCAGTAATATATATATTTATTCAAGGAACTAGCAGATAAGGTGCAGTGATACTGGAGAAGGCTGTCCTGTTCTCCAATGAAGTGTTACACTTATACAGTTTAACTTCTTCAGGTATATTATAGATATCTGCTATAATAAATATGCAATTTACAGTACTCTGTATGTTTCCTTTCTTAACATCAGAAGCATGAAGCCACCTTAATTGAGAATTTTTATATCAAGAACTGATGAAAGAAACCACAAACACAGGAAGCCAGCTATTAAGTTTATAAGAGATTCAGTATGTTCACAACCACTCAAGAAAAGCATTCTTTCTTTTCTTTTTGCAGAAAAATCTTACGTACGAACCGATCGTACCCGTCTTTTCTGGGTAATGCTGAATTTTTGCAGATGCAGCTCTTAAAATGAGTGATGTTCAAAGCTATCACAAAACGTTTCAATCTCAAGACTTCAGATGTTAATTGGAAGAGGAAAGCAAGCTATTTGCACTACTGTAATAAGCTGCAGCAATTTTGTTATGTTAGACGGGAGTGTTAATGATGAGCCACAAATGCAAGTTTTTACAAAGCCTCTGAGAATTAAGCAGTATGTCCTATATTCCTCTTCCTTGCTGTTCCAGTGAAAACCATACATGTGGAAGAACAAATGAAAATGTTGTCATGGTGATCAGAGCAGTTACCGAGCCATTTACTGTGTAGGAAGGATTCCCTAAAGAACCTGATTAAGCATTTTGTTGCTCCTTTTTAACAAATGTTTTCAGAAAGCCATTTTTATTTCACTGCTGAAGTAAGCCAAAGCCTGTTTCCCTACCCTCCAAAATAAAGCTGAGCATGACAAGCATCAATAAATATTGTTAGAAGTTAGGAATGAGAGCCAAGACAGAGCCTAAATAAAAAGACCTACTTGTAATGTTTGAATGTTTTTCAGAATAGTTACTGTGAAACAGCTCTAACTAGACTATTGATGTCCTCAGTTGGCAAATGAATAAACAAACCTTTAAATGAAATCAATGAAACTCTATTGGTTACAAGGAATATGATTTTTTATGATAATACTACTATAATAAGCTGTTATTTTTCAAGAATATTTCATGAATAAATATGTAGGTTCAGTGTTTGATCTGGTGAAGGAGCTAGCCCTGCAGCAGAACCCCAGTCCAAACCCATCTGTGTGCACTCTGGTAGATGAATGCAGGTGGCTGCAACATATTATTCAGGTCATTGGGAAAGAAAGCTAAACCTGACAATGAAGACATCTTGTATTTCTCCTGCATGAAACAGTACAACAGACATTGACAAAGTGCTAAAAATACATTGAGAGGCAAGAACATGCACTTTGGGCTAAATGCAACCTTCATTCATCAAACCACCAAATTTTTAGCATCTAAACTGAACATGTAAATATTTCACAAGACTCGGCACCTCAGCTTGTCTTCATCTTGCAGGTACTTAAAGACACAGAAGGAATCCAAGTTTCTGTTCCATTATGGACGGCTGTTTGAAGCACTGACTTATTGAGTAATAGAATTTTCTAACAAAATTGTTTTCTGCCTCACTTGTGGGACTTGTGGGACTGACTTCATATGCACTCTCATGGAGGGGAATTTCCACTATGCATGTAGAAGTGAGGTATCTCTCCTAATATATCAGGATGGAGAGCTTTCACTTTGTTTCAAAGTAAGAAAATTAAAGAGAAAAAAAAACCACAACAGTTGTTTCCATCAGGTGTCTCAGTTGAGCTTAATTCATATTCCTCCACACCTCATTCTTTTTCTCGAGTTGCACTTCAGACGAAGCCGTCAGAAAAAAACTCTCAGAACCTCAGCAAATAACTTGCTGATAACTTTTCTCACAATGCCTGAAGTCTGTGGCTTCAAAACATACAAACATAGTGCCTGTTGATGGCATGGTGGTCTTGATGAGCATTCTGGAATAACCTTATTTTACTATTGCTTTCTGTACCCATAAATGGTGAAAGCATGTAGAGAGCTGCTTAGAAAATGTAATCCACCTTCCAGTACTGATCAGGGCAGAATTTACACCCTTCCATGAGCCCCATGGGAAGACATGATACATTACAGATCAGTTCATGTTCTAAAATAATTTAAATCATCGTCATTCAAAACAAGATGCAAGCAGCCACGTTTCCCCAAAGTTTTATTGATGCAGCCATAGTATATAACTATACATCTTCATTTTACCTAGTAGTTACAGTACTTCCTTACTGAGATTGTTTTTGTAGTCAAGTTTATTACAGCCTTCACAAAACATATTTATAAACATCACTTACTGTATAAGACTGACCATTCCAAACATCATAGATCACTGGCATTTTTTCCTTAATAGTGCCTCTTGTGGAAAGGTCACACTACTCTTTTTAGATAAAAATTTGTAAAGGCAAATGAATTAAATTCACCTGCTGAAGAAAACAAGAGTGTTAAAAATAGCTTCAGAGTCGGTATGACTCATTTAGGTCTCAGAAAAATCTATGACTGGCAAAGATATCTACAACTCGATACTGTACTAGATACTTTCATTAAGAACCACGGAATCTTTATGAATACTGAAATGGAATTTATGCACTGGTCTGAAAAATAAGGATTACCTTGATTTTTTTTAGGATTTTTATTTTTATTTTATTTATTTATTAACAGGAAATGCACTACCTTCTAAAAACATTGTCATTCTAGGTTAAATATTGATATCTGAGGAAAATATGCTAAATCCAAAAACATGCATCACTGATACCAAATTTTAATATACGATATTTTTAGTTGAAAACCAACTCAAAGGATAGTGCAAAAGAGTTTCTTCTCCCTGAAGGGATTTTCAGATGCAGGCACTGGAATAATAAGGGGATCTTCTCCAATATGAGCATCACAGTATGCCAGTAAGTCTGCTGCAGCCTTGGATACCTAACAGAAGAGAAAAGAAGAACCACTTTAACACTTAAATCCAAACCAATTGGCAATGCGTAAATATTCTTCATATAACATACAGAATTGGAAACTGCCTTCAAACAGTAAACTGCTTTATTCTTCATGTTAGCTCTGAATTTGCTCTTATTATGCCTAATAAGCCTTACGTACACTTTACCTAACTCAGTGCCAGGGCATGGTATTGATTTATATGATTAATATTCAGCTTTTCATCTCCATCAGTAGCGAGGTCAGGAGAACATACACACTGAAATATCCATCTGCTGATTGGTTGTAAGCAAAAGAGATCCTTCATGACAAATATCTTCATATACACGTGCCTTCTGAGGCCTTCTGCCTCAGTTCTTACTCCCAGGCATCAAAACAGCAGAGTTGCAAAGTTTTCTACGGACTCTCTCTATCCTTTCCACATCTGGATGTGGAAAAAAAGATCTTGAGGCACGTGAGCATGGAAATGGAACTAAGAAATGAAATAATAAATCAGGAGTAAAAATAATAATTTGCCATAGTTCTCATTTAAGCTAAATGAGATAAAACAGTCTATTATCTTCTGTTTAGTAAATTATTATAAGTAATGTTTCACTCATCACATTAAATTTGATCGTCACCTAAATATTTTTAAGCTTCTAAAATAAAAAATTGTAAGGTCTCCAAATTCCAAAGTCTGGCTTATCCTTACTATAAATAAACTATACATTCCCTATAGGAATGTAACAGTGTTTTGATATTCAAGATGTTTTGCAAGAAATGAAAGATGAAACTATTTCAGATTTAGCTAAAATCTTCAAACTTTTGCAACTTTGTGATTTGAAAATACTGTGGTTCAATTATTTGATTTTTTTTTCCCTCAAGAACTTAGGACATACATACATACATGAATTACTTCTGTTCTGTTCAATTCACAAGATATTTACAATTATCTGCATTTCTTCGCTTTGTTGAATTACTGCATTTTCAGTATTATGATAAAGAGAATGAGACAGTTTACAAAGTCTTTCCCCTGATCACCATGAGAGATTTTCCTCAGTCAAACATTGAAGTCAGCATCTTTGCACAAATATAACAAAGAGGAAAAATAAATCTGATTTCTGCTATGTTTATGACAAGTGTATTGTCACTATTGGCTTTAGCTTCCCCACATTCTGCTTGCTTTGGCAAAAGTCCATCCTGTGGTAGGCATTAGCTCTACAAAGTCAATGGATGTCAAATCATGATTCACACAACAATTAAATTAACTGCCAGAAGATAATAAGTGACTTTCTATCTTTAAAATATCCACTAAATATGCCTTTGCAGAATGCTGAAACCCACAGATTTTCTATGGTTGGCTTCCCAGTGTAGGCTATCTGTCACCCAGCTGAAGAAGCGGGTGTGTTCAGGTTACTTAAAATGAGTTTGCTATGAATTAGTCTGCACGACAAAAAGCTGGGCAGAGGTAGAGCTATAATGGCCAAAAGTGTGGGAATGCTATATTCACAATTTTAAATTTACATGTGAATTTTTAAACAGCAGACTTTCCAAAGAGAAGCACAATGTACACTGATTATGAAATTCATATCGAGCCCCAAAAGATCAAAAGACAGCAAAGATGTTTTTCTGTGCTAATGACTTACACTGACCTCAAGAAAATATAAATGAGCAGAAAATTCATTCACTGAAGAAATTAACAAGTTTCCAGGAACTGTAGGAGGAATGTACACCACAGCATCTTGGAGAAGTATTTTCAGGTAATGACAATCACCAGTCTATTTATTTCCACTTTTCTATTTCTTTCAAGCTCAGCTGCATTTATCAAATTAAGGCAGTTTTACGCTTTTGTTGATTTATTTGATCTGAACTCTCTTTCATACAAACAGAACAAGTTAAACCCTGAACCACAGGTGCCTACAAAAATGTTCAATAGCATTTACAGTTCTGTATCATAATAAATTTTACTCCCATAAAATCTAATGGAGATCTACTCTAGTTCTCCAGGTCCTGGATAATGGATTTATTAAAGATGCTCAGCGTACTCGTCTTCAGCAACTAAAGTACTGAATAAGTTTATTAGGAAACATTTTATTCATGAAGCCAACAACTTTTTAAGCAGACTGATATAAGACCAACTTTCCCATAACTGTCATGATTGTTCCACATATGGATAAGCTGCACCAGCCCAAGTATGTTGCTTTGTTGTTTTTTTCTTTTTTTTTTCTTTTTTTTTTGAGGATATAAATCCAGCTATATAATTTTCTAATTGTTTCTCTACATATTACTGTGCTTAGTCATCATACAGCAATGAAAAGGATGGTACTGATGAACATTATCACATTTCTGTACGTTATCACAAACTCAGCCTCCTAGCCTGTACTAGGCTGTATATTTTCATCCTTTAAGCAAGAAAAGGTGTGAGGAAGAGAAATCCTCCCATGGGGATTACACTGGTTATGAAACTGAATTATAGCGATTTCTTCACTGAAGAACTGAAATAGCAGTGGAAAAATGACCACTTAGTATGGAGAGTTAAATTAGATGATCACACTGCAGCAGCAGTGAACACACTGCCAACATTACTCACAGCCACAGGAACCAAATTCAGAGCGGTGGCCAAAAAAATAAAGCGAAATATAGTTTTGCCTCCAGTACATTTCCTGCTCAGTGTGATTATTCAGACCAACGGTGGCAGAAGACCTCTGCATTATGCATTATATTAAAGCTACAGCATAGATAGATAGCTTTTTTTTAGCATGTGTCAGCATGCAGAGGTAGCCTACTGGCCAACACTATGGTTTGTTACCGCACAAAATAATGTGCTACTCACCCTATTTCTGTAACAGAGGAAGTTAAATGAAGGCAAGGCCAGTCTACCATAGCTTCTACTCACCTTTAGGGGAATACTACCAGGCAGCTTTTAGCAAGACTTAAAGTAAAAGCATCTAATTTGAATATTCAAACAAAACTAGCACACATTTATCATTTCAGCTCACCTGCGCAATACAGTTTGCTCTGCAGATGCAAAGTAATTTTTACACACTGCAGAAGTGGCTAAAAAAAATATTAGACTCCAGTTTGATTGATGAATTCTAACAGAAAGTCAGCATTTCATTTTTTAAAAACATTTAAAAATGTATATGTGGAGAGGATGGAATACATCAGTATCACATCAATCTCACATTTTATAAAAGTATATTTATTCTGTTTAATGATAAATATGTCTGGTTGTCAAATTACCAAAAGAAAAAGCCAAACAAAACAAGACGAAAACACTCAACTCTGATGCTTCTGATGCTTTGAAGAATCAGTCTTAGGAGGACTGTGGAATTTTACCATTACATTTTAGGATAACAGAGGTGACAAAAACAGCCAAAGCTATAACATAATCCTGTTAGCTGCACTGATAATTACAAGCTTCAATGACAGGGCAAAATGCTGCAATTACTATGTCATCTGCCTTGTCATGGGTTGTGACTAATTACCATCTTTGCTTAGACACCCACTCTGCTTATCCTTTACATCTAAAACAAAGAGATTCACACACATATATTGCCAATCCCACCACATTTATCTCCCAACACTATTCAGAATCTCTTAGGAATATTTTCTATCTTCTTAAAGAAAAAAGAAAATGTAATAATAGCTGATACACTATGATGCTTAATGTCAGACCACTCCTCCTTGCTTTCCTGCTTATGAAGGGAAGACTAAACAGGGTTTTATACTTGGGACAACTGTGATAAAGTACCAATATTATCTTTGCTTTCTCAACTTTACAACGTTGGTAGATGCATTACGCTACAAGTCACGAGGCCATTGTTCATCTGATTTTATTTCATGTTTCCTAGCTCTGAATCTGCACCTCCTGCTTTCTATTTACTTTCTTATAATCCCAGTCATTCGTTCAGAATACTGAAACATATTAACTTCTCTAGTGGCTTTTTTGGTCCCAAGCTGAAAGGTAAAACAATTACACTTGTAAGCCAGAAGATTGTTAGGTCTTGCTAGTGCCTGCGTTCTTTTTAATTAAACTAACTGCAAAAAGTAACCTATGTAATTCTTACATATGTAATTAAGAATGTCATTATACATCTAACAAATGAAGCTATCTGCATAACTGAGCTAATGATTTCATACTTGAAAGTTAGTTTGATTATATAAAAGCAAGTTTTAAATAATCTACTAAGGATCAACAATTCAAATTAAAAGAAACTAGCCCACATTTTTCCAGCCCTTCCCTCTTCCACTCATTAACTTTCCTCCTTGTCAGTTCTGTTGTTCACACAGCTGCAACACGACCCAAATCGGGGACTGATTCAATTGAAAGCTAACCTTGTCAAGATACTGTACAAAATAGAAACTATAGCTATGCAAATTGAGCTGTCTCTGACAAGACAACACTAATAGCCGAAAAAACTGAAATTTCTTTGTGACTATTTGTGACTGATTATTTGTGTCAGTTGTACTAATATTTCTGAGTCATAAATACTGTTTTTCTAATTAGCGAGTTTATGACCTGATACTGTCTTATTCCTCAACAAGAATTTTGATTTCAGGTGATCAGGTCTTTTTGGAATATTATAGGGAGGTTATACCACAAGTGAATTCAAATGAAATGAACTCAAGATACGAAAAATAAGCCTAAGTTTACCTTCATCCTATCCATGTATGCTTCCATTTTTAATTGCTCCACAGCTTTCCTAGCTTGAGATATATTGGTTGTACTGTTTGACGTTAGTTCCTTCATTTTGTTTTCCCTGGAGGAGGCAAAGTTGAGACAGTTTAGAAGTATAGCTAGCAAATACACCAATTAGCAAGAAGACAGTTATCAAAATCTAACCAACCCCACCCCCACCACACTGACCATGCCAGGCTGTAGGTTATAAATACAAATTAGGTATCATTTATACTGTTCCCTTGTTCAATAGTACCTGATTGCATCACGTATTTGCATCTTCAACTGCAAGCATTGTCTGAATTCTGCAAACAATATGAGATTACACTGCCAGTATTTCAGTGCAGAAATTGTTACCCTGGTTCAGAGTGCCAGCACAGAACAGATGTTCACAAACTGACTTTTCAGACATTATGCAGTTTGGCTCCATACCCTAATTACGCCTACTAACATGAGAAAAAGATCAGAAACTGCATAATAATAATGAATGCCACACTGACCTCACTGAACATTGGAAACAGGGGTATTTTAAGGTAGAGAAAGGGTCAATATTTTGGCTATGGAATTAAGTAATTTAGAAATGAAATAATTGAGATTGAGAAGAAATAACACAGGGTTTCCAAATTTTTCTTGCAGATCTCCAGTGAAGTGAAAAGAAGAATCAAATATTATATAGCATACTGTACTGCATATGATCTGGAGAAGTCCAGGGTAAGCAAAAAATTTGACTCTGGTACTTATCCCTTGCTTTTTAGTGTTTCCTTTGGAGATTGAGACAACACCCCAAGTTGGGCTCACACAAGAATTTCATAGTTCAGTTACTCATTAAGAAATACATTAGCATCAAGGCTAATTATCATGCACAGGGCTGGCAAGTCTTTTTTTCCACATCACTTTACAGCTCTCATTCTACCATCAGTACTAAATAACTGTAACACTGTATCACACAAGCACATTCTGCTCACCACCTCATGGTTACTGATACATGCTTTTGATGCAGCTCTTTATTTCAATTTAAGAGTACTACTTCTCAGAGCCACTGTAATTTCATTAAATGAACTTGTTATTCAGAAGAGTAGTCTAATGGCTGGTACAGAAAAAAGCTTGACCTTAAATGTACTCGGAGTTTTAAAAAGAATTGACCAAAAGCAAAGAGATTGTCTGTATAATTGTTAGCTGGTATTTTTTCATTGTCAGCCTGATCATTTACAAATCTGGGAAATTACTACCATTTGTCTAAACAGAAACAAGTAGGACACACAAGGGATTAATATGGGCAAGCATACACATCTGCTCTGATGAAGGGACAGGAACCCTAGTTCTGTACCTCTTCCCATCCTCAGTCTCCCACTTCTCTGTTTCACACCAAGTTGCCATTTACTCCAGGCATTTCTAATATACTCTTACCGCTTCTCTTAGGGAGCAGCTGCAAGTGTGCTCAAGAAAGCATTCCTGTATGTGGATGAAACTGCAGCCCATGAGGGCAAGGCAGATGGTCCATGCCTGGTTCAAGGAACCGGGAAAGTAAGGAGTGATATCCATAGGGATTTCACTTCAGCATTTGATAGCTGTGCTTACCATTTTTAAGAGCTGTTTGTAGATTAATCTGAAGGAAGTGAAGTACTACTGAGAATGCTTTGGGAATAGTAAGGCTATGGCTGGGAAATGAGTGACAAAGACCGTGGAAGAGGAAGACATCTCTGTGCCAAAGACTCAGCAGCTTGTAGCTATCTTTAAGTTGGTTTTTTTTTTGCCCTTAGGAACACTCATGTTGCAGCATTTCAGAAATCATCTTGGTCCACAGATACTTAGACAAAAGAATGTAATTACTGCCTGATCTACACCCAAGCTCAAACAGCATGATCTGGTCAAAGAGACACCTAATTAAGATAGGTCAGCATTTGAGTGGTTTTCTTGAATTGCTCCTTCCTAACGACGTGAGAGTAAGTCAGCTCATTACCATGCAGTTTTCAATGTTTTTCTAGATCAAATAAGATGAATAACCACTCTGGAACCTTAGATTTCCATCCCGTGTGCCCTAGGTAGTCTGCACAGTACTTGTAGAAACTTGGGAAGAAGAAACGCTACCTTTAATTATACTGTGTGCCAAATAATGTATGCCAAAACAAAGAACACTTTCTGTGCATGCATATGCTATTTAGATGGAACATGAGTTTCTCCCAGAAGTGCACCCTGACTAACTAAAACACAGAACACAGAAATGTTACTTTTTCTCTCGGCCTTTGTCTACAATCAGCTAACTCATACTCCTCACAGAGCACAGGATTAAATGCATGTGGAAGAACTGGCTTTGCATAAAATGCAACATACAGTACAAAAGAAACCTCAAACCAATCCACCAGTCAGTCTTTAAACAGCGTTCAGGTATGTTCTGACTTGCAGTGGGCAAGGAGAAAGGCTTTGAGGTAGCCAGAAGAGTGCAAAGTTCTGAATTAAATCTCATCTCTGGGCTTCCTCTTCGACCTAACCTCCTAGCTTTTAAGGTTTGACCCATTTACAAAGATGAGAACAAACATATTTATCTTTGTTTACAACATGATACTCCCACAAATATGAATCACTTAAATCATCTTCATGGCTGGACTAATAATGACCACAGAGATGAAAAATCAAAGCTAAGTACAGAGGCATGCCTCCATTTGCTGCAGCATGAGTTGAGAGGCAAACAAGAAATCTGATTTTGAATAATGCATTTCAGCTAAACCGAATTAAGAGACTGAAACTCCACGAACAGTACAGAGAATTCCAGATCTCCTTAGCTTTTCTGGTAAATTTAATCAACCTCTGAAAGTTACATGCACTAGAATGAGAATATGTGAAATGTTACTGGTTGCATTGAAGCTGAAGAGAACAGTGTTTCCAGTAATTCCACCTGGTTTTTAAGCACTTTTAAGTGAAAAAGGGATTCAGGGATGGTCACAATGTCACTGAAAAAAAATCCAAACCCCGTTTACTCAAATGATGCCACAACCATAGAGCATTCTGATATAACAAATGGGGCAAAAATTAGAAGAAAATCTGTATTACTCTGGTAAACTATTTCAGCAAACAATCAGAGTAGAAGGCTTCATAAATAAACTTCAAAAAGGAAAAAAATCTGGCCAAAGGTATTTCAGCCACTGTAGAAAATTTCCGTTTATCCCTAGTAAGAGGTTTGTTTATGCCCTGAGGCACATACATGAACTGTGTTCCAAATCCTGCTCCTCTCCCGACCTTTACACACACTTAAATATTTAACCACTGTATTTCTGGAAGCGCTTAGCATCCATTTAAGCATCTAGTCTGTTTTTCCATATAGACAGTTTGGGTTCTAGAATTTATAAGGTAGATTTCTCCTGTTTCACACTTCACAAGCTAAATATACCTCTGGCTTCCCTCATGCACAAATAGAGTACTAGCATATCAGTTGTGACACTATCACACATTAAGTGATGTCGACTACGAGAGTAGTTCCCATTCTCAAACCAAACTATGATGTTTTAGCAGATAAGGCTTTGGCTGAGAATCCTCAGATCCTGTGATATCCTCTAATAACCTTCCACTCAATATTCTTTAATGAAACAACTTTGTTGCTCAGAAATAAAGCTCTGGAGAAAAAAAGAAATTGTAATAACCAGACAATCTGTTACATATCCCTTCTGTGAACTCTCATTCCCTGGGGTCAGATGAGAACTCCTCCAGCTGTGCTCCCATGGGATCTCTGTCTCACTGTTCAGCTCCAGCCCACAGCCTGACATACAGCCCTGAGCACTCTCTGCAGCACTCCCTACAGACACTCAGGTGTTCTCCAGGCCTGCGTGCTCCTGGGATGGCACACTAACATTTGTATCCTACGTGGTGGTAGGATGCCCACAAGGAATAACTTCTCCCCATCTTTTCAGTTACTTACAAAGCCTCAAACCAGAAAGCGCTCAGCTGTGCTCACCGTGTTCATTTCTGCTTGTTTTTCCAGCAGTCCCCTATTAAGTCAGATTGATACAAAGGTACACAGGCTCTGACAGTCACCGTAGTTACAGTAACCATGTTAGTGAACAGACTACGTACAGTCTGCATGTTACCGGTGTGTGCCAGTAGTCCTAGATCATACAGGAGCTCATCTATCTGGAATATGGCTACGCAGTGTGCTGAGCTCATCCATCCGTTCTCGGTGGCTCTTTAAGGGGAATGCTGACCATGTTAAAAAGAGCAGGGGCAGCAGCTACATGGCCTTTTCCAGCCGAGCAGTTACTGTGGGCTGACACCGTGCTGGTCAGCCATATCCTAACACTCCTCAGGCTGCGCAGTGACATTTTCCCATCCTGCTTTTTTCTTGTTAGATTTTTTGACCCCATATGATCTTCATCCTCTTTTTTTTTTTTTTTTTTTTTTTTTTTTTTTTTTTTACTTTAACTCTCCAGGGCTCATAAAATGTTTGTGAAGAACAACTTTTCTGCATTGTTTATAGAGTAGATTAGGCTGTAGCCTATAGCACTTCAAAGGCCAAACTGTCTCCTGATAAGCCAGGAAGTTACATCAATATTTGCAGGTAAATGTTGATCTTGTGTAGGTAAGAGGTGCAACGTACATTTACCAAAGCCTCTAAACACTTATTAAAGGGAATGCAGAAGGAATCTGAAATACTGCATAACACAGAAGCAACATCCAGTTTCAAGCTCTACAGTACAGTTTTCTACAGTCGGATGAAAGGCTGCACAGCAAGCTTATCTTCTTACACCTCCAAGTACAGCTGTAAAGCTAAAGGTGCATAGTGCAGAACTAAATCTAACAAACCCCAACTCAAACTGTTGCATTCTCTTTCCTTTCAGCAATCAAAAATGGTGGACTCAAAATTACTGAATGTTACGGCCCTCTCCAGATCTTCTAGGACTTCCACCTCAGCAGAACGCGTTCCCCATGCAACGGTAATCCAGGCACAGACATACCTGGGAACAGCCCCTGAGTCAGACGTGATGGCAAACCAAACTCAAAATGGCAGAAAGAGCCCATCTGTGTTTACCCACGTGCAAACGCACCGGGAATACAAACAGAACATTTACAAGCTCACAGCTGTTCCGTGCCACGCTGACAGATACTGAAGATGCTGAGGGGAAGTCCACTCCCTCCAAAGGCGCTTGGTAGCACCGGCAGAAATGATTACCGGGAGGGCTGCTCTTAGCAAGAAAGAGACAACATAACTCTCGTCCTGTGAGTGCGGTGACTTCACCAGTAACTGCAGACCTGCTCAACTTCAGCGGCTCTGTTTCCATCTAACACGGCGCTGCACGACACGCAGCTGCCGAGCTCCTACACTGGCACGCTGCGTTCTGTACGTGAGTACAGCTCGCTTCTCGCTCCAGCAGCCAAGGCAGCAGCCAGCCTCGCAGGGACAGCCCTCTCATGCTGTCCGTGGACCGCCAGTAGGGAAGCAGAAGGTCTGAAGCACAGAGCTGAGCTCCGCTCCGCTCCCCCGCTGTTTCGCTTCCTTGGCGAAGTTTAAGGTACTCGCGAACTTTCAAAGAAATACACGGGTAAAAGCGACCGTTCCAACCAGAAGTAAAGCACAGAACGGCGCAGCGCCCGCCCCGGCCGGACAGCGGCGTCCCCGCCCGTTACCCGCGCCCTGTGCGGCGGCACCGCACGCAGCGGCCGGGCAGCAGCGCCGCGCACCCGTCCCGCGCTCAGCCCCGCCGGTGGGAAGGGGCAGAAGCCGCTTCCCCGCGCACGGCCCCGCCCCGGGACGGCAGGCCGGCCGGGCGGCGGCGCGGCTCCGCTGAGCGCCCCGGTTCCGGCTCTCGGCCGCCGCAGACCGCCCGTACCTCCCGCGGCGCGCGGCTCCCGGCACACGGCGAGGGTCGGCTCCCGCGCCCGAGGAGCGCGGCGCTCGCCGGCGGCCGCTCCGCCCGCGCGCCCGTCAGCCGCCGCGGAGCCGTTAGGCCCCGAGGAGCGGCGCGCGCCGCCGGTACCCACCCAGAGCGCGGCGAGGCGGGAGCCGTCCGCGGCCGCCGGTGGCAGGGGCTGCGCGGGCGCTCCCCGGGCACCGCTCTGCAGCCGCCCTGCCCTCGCCTCCTCCCCCGCAGGCGGCGGCACCCGCCCGCGGCGCCCCGCAGCAGTCAGTCAGCCGCTGGGACGCTTCCAGCGAATGGCGCGGAGCGAGCGGCTGCGCGTTTCTGGAGCGCGGAGCTGGCGAAGCGGCTCTGTCGAGGAGCTCGCGCCGGCCCTGCAACGCGAGGGTGAAGAGGAAGAAAGATGCCGCCGTGGAAAAAAAACCCGTGCTGGGACCTCCGCGAGTTGTGCCGTCGCGGCTAATGGGGCACGGCAACATGAGTCAGCGCCGTAGAGGGAAAAAGCGTACACAAATCAAATGGGAGAATCAGCCGTAAGGCTCGGTGGCAGTTAACGTCGTTAACTAAAAATCGGCCCTAAAAACACGCGTGCTGCCGGGAGAGCCGCTCTAGAAGCTCCCATTAAGGGACAGGCACACGTGTCACCCCTCTGCCATCGCTGCCTCTCCTCCCCTCATCAGATCAGTCGCGAGCGTTTCCAAGGCGCTTCTGTTTGCCATACAGCGCAGGGCAAAGTTCTGCTTTTAAAGGCGCTTCGAAGCAAAGACGTCCCCTCCCAAAGACTGAGTCCACGGCTTTTCGGATGGTTATTCAGGAGAAGGAAACGCGGCAGGAGAAAGGCAAGCAGGGCAAAACGCATTACTGACCGTGCACATGTACACTCACAGCCCTACCTTCACTGGGGTCCCAGAAGATTGGGTGGCTTATGGAAGAGCTGCTCCTTTCACACGCAATAGCATCACCATCAGCCTACAGAAGGTTCTGTTTACCATATCAAGGATTTACATGCTCTGAAACAAAGCAATTACTAGGCGGTTCAAATAACCAGACTTGTCACTGATGCACGCAATATGTTTGCTGCAGACGCTATTCGGTTGTGTTAGAAACCGAGAATTTTAGAATTGCCTGAGGAAAAGCGGGCAAGCTTGTTTTTGCCTGGCTCTCCGCTGGGTAGCCCAGCAAAGTGCGAGAGTGCAATCAGACCAAGCAGCCACAGCTCTTGATCCTCTTTCAGTAGCGACCCGCCCAAGTTGTGAAACACACAGCACAGCCCATTGCGGAATGCAGGTGTAAAAACAGTGGCTTTCTGACCCCACCCAGAGCTAGCACACAGTAACTCTGCCACATCTCATTAGCACAGAGGGCACTTGTCAGCAGTTTTATCTCACTACAGTGTCAGTACATCTAGAAGCTCAAAAATGCATAGTGGATTTTTCAAGATTTTTTTTTTTTTTTTTTTTTTTTTTTTTAAGGCAAGCAACAGCTTTAAAATAGTCTTGCATTATTGTGGTAGAGTAACAAAATGTTGCAACTTGTTTTCATATGTGAGAAAAAGAAAACACCAACACAAAAAGCATAAAGAAAACTAGTACTTTCGGGACTCCATTATGAGCTTCCAGGGAGAATTACCTTGCATTATCTGGGCATTTCTCGGCAGCAGAGGTCGGGTTGGCTGTAGTGTTAGATTAACCCTACAATTGCCACATGAAGGTGAACTAAATTTGCAAGTTGAAACCCTGTGGTTTCTTACCCCCCCTACACTGCTCTCTGTGGAGTTTCATGGACTCTTGCTCAGTACTCAGGGACAGATTTTTCATTGGGTCTTTCTTCAGAAATAGATAGGGCTTCAGTGCAAAGAAGAACCTTAATGTTGTATTTCAGGCTTCAAGTTAAAAGTTTCTCCACTTTCTTTAAATTACCGTTTTATTTACTTATAGAATCCCTCTTTTCCCCCCTGCAGAATTATTTTCTACTGTTTGATTTACTTCACATGTACTTGTAGGTGCTCCAAAAATAATTCTTCCTATTTATTTCCATGGAAAAGACAAAGAGCAAAGTAACACTATTTAATAAAGCAAATTCTCAGCCGCAAAACACTTTTTCAACATAGTTACCACTGTTAGCTATGCATTTTCACTAGCAATAAACAAGAGTGCTTCATTTTGTGATGTAACAGCTGCACATGACCATCCAAAATGTGGCTTACCACACACGTCACTGTCCCCAGTGATGAAACACACCACCACTGCCTTCCAGTACTAACATCCACTCTTTGGTCTCCATAGACAGTCAGCAAGTGTCAGTGGGTGTCATTTATGCCACATGGAGGAATTAGATGCCACACCTTTGCTTCATACTCTCTTCCATGTCAGACATCATTTTGTCAGATTGCCCCTCTGCTGTTTTCTGTCAGGGAGAAACATGTGGCAGAATATTGGTGGGAAGGTTCAACCTCCACTGTGCCATATCCACAACATCAGCCTCAGACCAAGATAATAAGATAGGATACACTACTTTTGGAGCAGCCCCTGTGGTTTTCTACTGGACTTCTTTCATTCCTTCTATTTGTTATTGTGGTTTTGTCCTAAACATTTGTCCCAAACCCAATATCTCGGTTCCCTTTCACCACTATAAGTGAAAATATAACTAGTGCATGGCCTTCCCTTTCTCATTACATGCACTGGTGCAATCAGTGACCGAGGTTCACCACAAAAGCCTTGTGAGGCTATCAGATAGGCCTTGCCACAAAGAAGTCAAGAGATCTCAGTCTCCAACTTCCACCAGCACCATTCTCTTCCTCTCCTTCATTTATAATCTTCCTTTCCTCCAGAACCTCCAAAGCCTCCAGAACCTCCAAAGTTTGTTGCTTTTCCATTTTTTCCTCAGCCCAGCTAGGTTTTCTGAGAGAAGGAGGCTGGTGGGAGGGAGAAGTGTCTCTGCTTAGAGATAAATCACTTCCACTTCTAGCCCCACATCCCATGAGAAAGAGGAGGCACATGCACATATGTACAACTGAGTTTCTCACTTCCAAACTTACACCCCACCTTGTGCAGTTTCACAGCAACGTGATGTAGTGCACAAACAATTTTCCTCCTTCAAGGACCTTTAAAGGTTAAAGACCTGAGAACAAGCAGAAAAGGAACTGGAGAGAAGTGAGCAGATTTCTCAAAGAGAGGTGGAATAAAGCCAAAAACATGGTTTTAGCCATCACCATTTGATACAAAGGTCTGTTTATTACCCAACAGTGTGACAGTGTATACAAAGACAGTGTGGAATGTGAAATTTACAGGAGGTTTCAGTACATCATGCACATATACTATTGCAATGGTATTTCAATAGTTCCAGAACATTAAGCTGAATAAATATTCCTCAGTTCAAAAAAATCTTTGACTTATACATAAAAATATATAATATTGCACTTTTTACAAGGCCAGCAATTTTGCATATTGATTTGTAACAAGTGGAATTCTACTTTATAAAAATAAGCCTTTGTGAGCAACATCCCAATTCAAGGAGGACAAAAGCATCCCCAAACCATCACATTTGTATTTTGTCGCTTAAGTCAAGCGCATCACTTCAACATGAGCCAAGAAGCTTTTCGGTCTGTATTTGGACCTTACATTAACATTTAGACAGTGAAAAACATGACTACAGCCACCCCATACAACGTTGCTACAATATATGCAGTTTAAAATTCAGTTCATACAGCTGCTTGCTTAATTGAACTACAAGTAGTAAATCAATCTGTGTCATGGACTGAGAGGACTTCAGTTTTTCCAGTTTGAAAACCCCCAAAATCAGAAAGTCGCAAAGATTTTTGTAAAGATCATGTGGAATTTTCTGAAGTGTACAGTTTTCCTGTATGCACATCTTCATTACGATTTCATAACACAGTACTTGGAAGGCAAATGAACCTTAAAACTAAGGTAGAGCAGTTTGTCTGTATGGCAGTAGTGGAAAATGTCAATGATGAAAAAGCGAAGGTATGACTAAGAAAAATTTAACTACAGAGTTGTGTTGCATTCTTGTACCATTTGCATGACTAGCAGGCACTCACTCAGTGTCAGTTGGGTCTTGAAATCCATCAGCTTAAGTGTTAGCTTTTCTATCTGGCCTAAGAATTCAGATGTAAGCTATTAACGGCAGCTTATTTTTTTCCTCCTCTCAAAAATAGCACCTAGAAATAAATAGCATATTTGCACAGTGTACCTACATAAACAGTTCTGAATTACTCAGTGCCTATAAACATTGATTTAAACATTTGGATTCGAACATTTTACAGTGCACTGAAGTTCAATGACACTGAGAATACGAGCACATTAGTGCCTTCTTTAGTACCGTTTTTAGAGCTCTGGATGGCAGGCTGTGTGAATGATGTGTGTGTAGTCTGCCACAGGACCACAACAGCTAGGTGTTACAAACTGAGATAACACTACGTGGAACACAAAACCAAAACACGAGTTAACTATTGCTTCGTGAAGCTATGAGGTGTCTGCCCATCCTCGTTTTCGTCCAAAGACTTTCACACCATCTGAACAGAGAAGACAGCAGGAGTTGTAAATGAAGATGGATCTAATTTTTCAGTATTACAATACCATTAAATGGTGCAATAAGCACCTACTAAGTTCTTTGCTTCTCAAAAAAAGCAATTTTGAATCATCTTGGATTTTTTAAATTTTGGGTCACTTTTCCCAGAGCTAACATCATCATCCTTGACTAATCAGATATACATATGCTGACATTTTTATAAATATTTACAGAGCTTCATACTGCTGATATTTTACAACACAGGAGGGACAAACACTACTGATCCAATTTTTGAAATAGTTGCTTCCAAGAAGTGATTTAAAAAAATATTATTACATTTTGTATTGCAGCATTTTGACTTGTAGGTTAGAGCATTTATACACCACTTTGCTGGTACTGGAGTATGCAACCAGAGCTTCCTGGTGACTCCATACACTTCAGGTTTGTGCATGCACAATTTATAACCATCTTAGACTGCCTTCTGTTTTTCACCTATGCAGTCATTCTAGAGACATTCAAACTATTTCAAAATCCAGTTAATGAAGAGATTCTATAATTTATTGTGGATTTAAAGTGCATGGAGACTTGAATGAGCAGCAGAAGTAGTCATCACCCAGCTGCATAGCTGCTAAGGAATGAATAGAACATGGGTAACTTCAAGCGCTGCTGGTCCTTGCGACACCAAGCTATTACATTTCCATCACTATTTGCTGTGAACAAGTGATGACCGTCACAGGAAAAGGTAAGGCTGAAAAACAAGAAAATATTTTGGTATCAGATTTGGCTATTTAAAATGCTAGAAGACATTAAAAAGCCACATGAGTGTAGCTGACAAAAAATCAGTTCTTGGTTAGGAGAAATCCAGTGAGTGATTAACGTAGCAGTGTGTGCAAACACCTGGCTACTCAGCTTTGTAACCAAACAGGCTCAACTGCAGCTCTGTCCAGCTCTTCAACATGCCGTGCAGTTTAGTATTTATTTGCAGCAACAAAGAAAGTAGTCTGCCCTGCCCTGTTACCTCTGAATGGAGGCTTTTCAGTACAGAGAACAAGGCCCTCTGAACTTACTTGATGATATACAAATCTGCCAGATTTCACAGCACAGCACAGGACTGAGCATTTCCCGAGCTGTTACTACTGAAAACCCTTCCATCATGCCAGGGTTAGAGAACATGAAGGCCAGCATCTATTTTCTGTCACATTTAAGCAGAAAACCTTTTCATTATTATTATTATTATTTTAAATCAACAAGATTTTGTGAAACATGCTTCCTTGCAATTACTGCCATTCTAGCGCCTATCAGATAATGTTTTTTCATTTTTAAGAAATAGTGATTAGTGGTTTGAATTGTAAATGATATTTCAGTAACGGGCACAACAACATTCTTCAGAGTAATTTGTACCATGCTAACATCATATCTGGCAGAACTCCACAAGACTCCTGTGCAGGGTACAGTACTCCAGAGGATATCGCTCTATCCTTCAGCTGTGCTCTGAAAGCACTTTGGCACAGTAATTCTGTTTTTCATTAATCAAGGGGACTCTAATAGGCAAAATTACATAAGCACTCTAAATGGCAGCTTCCATGCTTCTGAGGCTCCTTTACTCTCTCCCATTTCCTTCCAGTATATATATTTTTTAAAAAAGGGAAAATGCAGTCCTTTCAATTATTTGAGGGAGAAAAAAAAACCTATTGAGTCTGCTGAAGTTAGTACCTCCTGATTTTTAAACAGATTCTGTGGAAAAATATTCAACTTAAGAAGGGTAGCTATTGTTCAGTTCTCAAGGGAACCCTGCCAATTTCCTTCTGCTAGCAGCAGAACCTAGTTATTACTGTCATTACAAATATGGTACACTTGTGCCCACTTTGCTCTCATGAATAATTAGTAGGATTGCATGGCTCTTTTTAAACATGGGTGTTCACCCCTTGTCTTCATTTCAAATCCATGTTCAATACTCATAGCTATTCTTGGTTTTATTTTCAAAGAAAAATCCATTTATTACATACTTAATCTTTACCTTACAATAGGTTTGGCTGACTTAGAAAATGTTATTTCTCGTACTGGCTTCAAGTCCCATGTACTCCACAGTCTGAAAGATAGATTAATTTTTCTTTACATTAGTCTTTACAAATATTTCAGTGATAAACACAACCTATTTTAGCAGCTACTAAGATTGGAAAATGGACAGCAGTTTGTCCACCTTCTTTAAATGTCCTATCAGTTATATAGATACATCTGCGAGCTTAAGTTATAACATATTTTGGTCACAGAAAGTTTGAAATGCTTACCTTACCACTCCATTTTCGAGCCCTCCTGCAATCACGTTGACAGATACTCCTTCAGGCTGGTTAGAGAAAGCAACAGAGCAAATACTTTCCCTGCAGTGTACGTGTCCCACGAGATCACCGTTAACGGTCCAAAGCCTCAAATCACTCCCCCCTCCAACTGTAACAAAACAGAGCATGGCAGTATTAAAAAACAAATCCAGATCACAATTAGGTCTATGTAACAGAACCTTTAAAGCTTCAAGAACTTCTTGAAAGATAAAAGGTATTAAATGGCCTGGAGTGACACATGCTGCAGGAAACAATTACTTCCCTGCTCTTTTCTCATGCAAACCACCAAGCCACAGCAAAATGATTCAGAAGACATCGCTTTATATCCATGAAACGTCGTAATTACAATACCCAAATGATTAAATATCATTTAACAACCAGTTGTCACACACTAAGAGAAAAGAAAAGAATTCAGTATTTTCTTTAAACAGCTCATTCTCATACCCTGGATTGCATTTAAGTAAGATACCTAGAGTACTAATCACAAGTAGCTTACCAGGTTATCTGGCATTATTTGCATTTATTAACGTTCTAATACTCAATTACTACTTTGTCTTAAAGGCGATTGAAACTCACTTTGTCCCCTACCAACACAAGAATACAATGTTTTCCAGTAGAAGTTGGCTTATTTGTACAGCTGACTTCAGTTGCACAAATGGAAGAGATCAGAGTCTTCACATCAGTTTGAAATCCTTGGATCAATGGAAGAAAACTGTCATTTATATAGAGCCTATTACCCAGCCTCCATGTCAAGTCAACAAATAAAATACACACAGCAAATGTGTGAGGTCTGACTTAGACCTGCTTTAGATATATATATATATATACATATATATATATAGTACTGCAGCATACGGGTAGTTTGAGTCACTGAGGACCCTGAATTGCACTCCAAAGTCCACTACTCAAATAGATCTTCATGCCTTAGTCCAGAAACAGTCCCATACAGAAAAGATGACTGTACTAAAAGCTTGCTTTAAAATAAGATTAGGTGGAAGTGGGGAGTGAGTCGAGAACAGAATTATTTCCCTTTGTAGGAACCAATACAAGTATCTACATCCTTCTTTAGTATAGCTGTTACTCCTCTTTGCTCCAACACCTACCTAATAGTTTCTCAACAAATTCAAATATTAACAAATTTTTTACAAGTGCTCTTTGACCAGAAGCATCCTCAGATGATTAAACCACACGATAACCCATACAATAACAAATCTAGTGATTTATCTGGTCTTCTGACTTGCAGCTTTGGCTGACAGATTTACCTGAATCACAAACCGTTGCAATATCACCAGTTGTTTCGCTAGCTGAAACTGCAGTCACGGGACTTTTGTGTCCAGCCAGACTCTGGACATAGCACAGCCTAAAAGATAGTAAGAGAACAAACAAGCTTAACGTCAGACTAAAATATAGAAAAGGTTAAAGAATTATTTTTTTTTTAAAGACTTTCATTAATCTCAACCAACACTTTTCTTAATGGTGTTTTTTATATTAACTCCAGAATTCCTACATAGTAAGAGTTTCACTTCACATTAGACATATACACAAAATAAATTCAGTTAACTTTAAAATGAGAAGACACCAGGAATTTGAAAACAAGTACTGAAAAAAATGATGGAAAAAGCTAGATGTACATATACCTGTTCAAATCCCATATAATGCAGGTGCCATCTTTGCTGACGCTTATCATTATACTATATGGTTTGCACACAAAAAGGCTCGTTATCTCTGCTGTGTGACCGTACAGATGGACTTGTGATTCCATTTCTATCTCTGAAGGCTGAAAAACAGCAACATGAAATCATTAACATTTTAATGTCTCTTTTCTGAAAGAGATAAAAATAAGATAAGAAGAAGATTTTTCTTAGATTAACATTGTTACTGCTTTATTACAACTAATGTTTTATAATGCAGTATGCCGAACTAATCATTAACATTCAGCTATTTCAAGTGCTTTATTCTAAACAAACATTTTGGCAATACAATGAATTGAAGAGAAACTACTGTCAACTAAGCACTTGAAATTAGCTACTTTCTGCAAGACAGCATTATTTTCACAAGATAGAGAAATGGCAGCCTCACTATTTGAGTATGTAGAGGAAATACTTAGAAACGTAGACATAACTGAGCTCAGTAGTTAACACTGCTGAACAAAATACAAATTACAAAGGTAAGTCGAACACCAGTAACACTTCAAGTTATGTCATTTGGAACAACTCAGGCTTCTTGAAAACTGGCTTAGAGCACATCGTTGGCATTTGTGTGGAAGGGTAAAGGGTATGCATAGCATGTCTATAGAAACCTTTGAAGCAGTAACAGACAAAAAACGTGTATACTTTATCTGCAGAAAATTTAAGTTTCTCTTGCTGAAAGAGTATAATCTGTAATGCTTGAAGATGCATTTTCAACGTTTGTATGCCTTACTGTCAAGGTATTCAAAGCAGTACTTCATTTTTTGACTGCTTTTTAAAGGCTAGGAAAAAGAAAATAGCTCCATGTTGTATTTTAGATATTTTAGAATTCTGACAACATGGCTCTTCAGGTTCTCATACTGACAACGTGAAGGACAACTAATGACATGATTCTCACTTCATACCTATGCATCAATCAGGGCAAAATAGTCATGTTCCAGGTAGTGTATTTTATATAGTGTTCATCACTGAACAGCTGACATGATGCATCCAGAACAGATGCTAGGAAGCATATTTGCATTCCCTGCAGCCCTGGCTTGGGTAACTGACTCAACAACAGAAGCTATAAAATTGGCAGCAAGGTCGATCTGCCTGGGGCATGTAAAACTGGCAGTGCTGGGGAATTCAAAGATGGTCTCAAAGACAACATCTGTGCAGCAAAAACAAAAACACTTGTTCCTAGGTAATGCAGAGAACTCAAGAATCATAAGCCCACTATATTAAAATGGAACTCAAGACTCAGTTATTTGTGAGCTCACTAATTCTGGTGAGCAGGAACAGTGCCTGACCCAACTGATTTAAGCTTGCAAGGCTTCAAGACCTTCTTCAACTTTTAAACTCAAAGCTGCTGAACTCAGGAAGTCTGAGATGCAGATCATCAAAACTGAAAGAAAGCCAAGGCAGGAATCACAGTGTGTTTATGTTCTTCCCAGTCTGAGCATCTGCTGTTTGCCACTGTTTAAAGTGGCAGGAAACTGGGTAGGCATAGCAGATCTTACCAAAGCTCCTGCTAGCCCAGACTAATGTAATGATTCAAGAGCAGTGGCACAATATTACTAGTGTTTGCCAATACCTGTATCAAGCTAAACTGGATAGATAAGTTTGTTATGGGTAAATCACACAGCCTTTCAAAGGAAGTTATAAACTCTGCTGAAACTACAAAAAACAGAAGTTACAGCTGAAGAAAATGAGATGAGCTCCAAAACTCAGCCTGAACAGATGAGTTTGGGGTTGTATTTATGTTTTCATACCACGCTTATTGTTACATAGCATCAAGAAGATTTCTGCAAGCATCTCCTTAGCACCTGCCACTAATACAGTAAGTACTTTAATCACATTTCTCACTTCCTTCCACACTGCTTTCCCCCCTTTGGGAATACTGTAAAGTGAAGAGTCTGAGCAGTTAGTAAATACAGTGTTTGAGAATTCATTGCCACTCTCTACAGCATTGGAAATGTTTTTGGCTTTGGGGAAAAAACATTTCAGTTTCTTTTAAGGCTTTCAAAAGCTTTGTTTTCTATACAGCAAAAAAATTACGCTCTAATTTAGCAAACTTCACCATGCCAGACAGCCTGAATTCAAAAATCTGTACAAATCAATCATCCAGATGATGAGGGCCAACTAACAGCTAGCAGCAATACATGAACTAAAAAGTGTAAGAAAAAACACAAACATGCTGAAATAAATCTATTCAACAATGTCAAAGGTAATCCTTACACATCAGTTCCATGCAACAGAACTTACCGTACTGCTAGTGAATCTGTTCATGTATGCTGTGATTACACCAGATTTGCTACCTGTGAAAAGCTGACAGCTGTCTGGGACCCAAGCACAACTTGTTACCTTGGAAAGACAAAGGGGAGAAAAGAATGAGAACAACTACTAACTGCTATTGTCATCATACCACAGGATATGGTCACACTGACTTTTATCACTTTTCCTAAGAAAAATCATGTAAAATACTTAATGAGTTAAGGACAGATACTATTGTAGATCACATATCATTACTTCAGTAACAAAATAAAGAGGAAAATTCCACGTAGCTCAGAATTCACAGCGAAAGAGCAGTGAACTTCTGACTTTCAGGACTACAGCCACATTAGTCAGAATCATTTCAGTAAAATCTCAAACACCACTGAACTGTAATAGAGATTATGAAGAGTTTGTTAACAGAATTAAGACATCATCTTTCCAGAGAAATCAAACTACAGTGGAGTTATGTTTCTAATGTGAGCTAATTCTTTCAGTTTTCATTTTTCTTTGTCCAGGACTTAACTTTTATAAATTCACACCAACAATCCATAGGAGGGAAATCTACAGAAGTCAAATGCATTTAAAAGGGAACATTGTCTAGTCCAGGAATACACTGGCTCCCAGTCCAGGAGCAAGATATTCTGGAATAGCAAGGGCTAGATCCAAAAGAGAATCCAGCAGGTTAGAATTAAAACATTGGACAACTGCATGAAGTTATGCTTAAATACTCATTCTCTCAGAATAAGATGTGTTATTCACTATAGGCTTTGCAGAAAATGAAATCAAGTGCAATTACTGCCACAACAAGCCACCACATGATTAAACAAGCAATATTAAAGACCAAAAGACGGATTTTTACCTGATGAAACTGGGAACTCTGTATAAAATTTACTGGAGGTTCACTCTGCTTGCTTTTTAGTCGTAAAATGTTATCAGCATATCCCCAGCTTAGGATAGCTGACCACTGAATATCAGTGCTGTGCATACTTCTCACACCTGAAGGAAGGTACAGAAGATTCTGTGTCAGATACAAAATCAAAGGGTTGACCACTTTGATAGTCAATAAAAACTTAAGTTCCATACTTTATTGCCAACTAGAAAATAGAAAGCAACATTTCAAAACAAGATGCTTTTTTAAACAATTTTCAAAGATGATGTAAACATTAAGTATTCTCCAAGAACAATTTGCAGCCTAGACAAAGCTTTTTAAAGAAGCATTGCATTTAGTGGGAATGGATAAAAAGGGAAGATGTGCCAGTGCTTCCCAGAGAAATGATTGCTCAGAATTGTATATTTTAAATGACAAAGCATGAAGTCTTCAATGGATCATTTATAAAACTTTCACTAACGCATATTACATAGAGGGGGAAGGGGGGTAGTATGAGAACCTGTTTGCACATTATCAATAAGAATCCTTCCAAGTTTGTCTGAGAGCAGATCCTTTCATCTCACTTTTTCCCATGACGCTAAAAAACTCTTTAATTATCCCTTCCAATGCCACATATCCTCCTCTGCTTTTTTTCCAGTTCCTTTTGGACCTGCCAGCAAGTTCTGAAGTTAAAGTGATTTAAGCATAAGGCTTTAATGAAAAACCTAATTACTGGACACCTATACTTTTGAAAGTCACAAGCCAAATCTAACCATCAGAAAAGATATCAGTCATGGAAGCTGTCCTTGGATTTATAGATCAGACTTTGGCAAAAGAGATTAAATGTGGAAAGTTTACTGGAGAACAGTAGTAGTACTAGATTTAAAAGTTTTTTGGCTCTGTTTTGCATGGGTTGTGCATGTAGAGAATAATCACAAATTCATACCTTGCTCCTTGCTATATATCATCAAAAGGCAAAACTTGCGGGACAAACCACATATAGCTTTAGTTGGCAAAGCCTGCAGAGAGCCAAACCTTTCCCCATGTGGTTGGCTAAAACAGACAACAGGATCTGGGGCACTTGGAGAACCTACATATTCTCCCCACTTCAAGCCTTTTATCCATGGCAATGGACTCTAAAACACAAATAAGGTGCAGATTAAAAGGTGATTGAAACTTTTCTGAAAATTATTACTTCATGAGGGAGGGAGGAAGAAGAATCATTCATATCCCATTCCCCTAACTAACCTCATAGTAAGGACTACTGAAGTATTCCAGAAGTAACAGAAAGACAAGTATGAAGTACTGTAGTATCATCAGCTAAACATCAGCTTTAAGAGTTAAGATGGCAAGCAGACCATTCAAATAGTGCAGTACAATATTCCAATTTCTTTAAACACAAGAATTCAGTTTCTCACTGGACTCTAGAGAAGGCAAACGTCTGAAGTGAAGACAGTTGACCTATCCTACAGGCAATGAGCAAGTAGGAGACAGAAGTGCAGCATGCATTTGCCTACTCTAGGTTTGCATGTAAAAGTGGGTGCAGTGTCTGTATCTTTCTCTAAAGGACTGACAAACCTCCGTTATTCAACTGTAAATATCAGAGGTACAGTAACTATAGTATATGGAAGTTAATTGAACCATTTCACAATCAAGATGACGTACTGGATATATTACTTCTTTGGTGTGCTCTCTTGTCTCTCTGAAAGCAAACTGCACTAATAATCCCATGGCAGCAGGAAGTTCTCCTTCCATGATGAGCCTGGATCCAGGCCTGCTAACATGTGCTGTATGGAACAGTTGGCGAGGTGTTTGCCCATATGTTTTTATCATTGTTTCAAGGGCTCTTCTCTGAACAGGATCCTCAACAGCAGAAACATCCATCCCAAAGTAAGTCTGCAGAGGAAAAAAAAAGCAGGGAAAGGCAAGAATGAGCTTCTCCAATTTGTCATGGGAAAGATTTCTAAACATATACCTACAAATTTAGAGTTGTACCCATCAGCTCCTTGGCTAGGACAGAAGCTATCTCACACAGGTTGTACTGAGAAAGGAATCACTGAGAACATTGTTTTCATCACTTCTTATTGAAGTAACTAAAGCCTTATGATCTGAGTTGATCCTGCATGTATTCCATTATTAGTTTCAAAGGTTTTCTTAATAGACCTTTACTAATCTGTCTGAAAACAGAAGGGTTGCTGATGATAAACAACATCAAAAAATGGGGAGTAGGAAGCTCTGTATTTCAGGAACGTGAAAGCTGTCTTTGACTTTTCTTCCTTTAAAATTGACCATGTTTCTACGTGTGTGCCACACTCTTCTCATCACTCACACTGACAATGCCTTCACTTCAAAGAAAAATAAATGTAATCACACAAACTTAGTATTTTAAGTTGCAGATAATTTAAGTTGAAGGTAGTAACTAAATCAGTACTTAATCTCAAAGAAGAAAGGTAAGGAAGGCATTTGGATGGCTGCTTGAAAAGAAAAAAGCCGCTGCTACTGAACATGACTGCTATTAGCTCCTCTGACAGCTACAGAACACATGCTAAACAGTGGAAGCAAATCCATTTGAAATTTAAAAGAAGGGCTGCTAACTGAGCAGGCCCTGCAATAGTAAGGATAGAAGCTTCAAAAAAATTTAAAGAAATTCAGAGAAATTTCAATGTTACAGTAAGTCAGTAATGACACTCTGGAAGCTTTTACATCAATGAAAACTTATTTGACTTATCCAAAATTAAACTCAGTGGAAAAGAAAATGCTTACTAGAAACAAGACAAGATACATATAAATAGAAGAATATAAATACTGACCACAGACAAACTAAGCTATTTTCGTCTCATCAAAACCTGCAGTAGAGTTCACCTAAATTTAAGGCTTCTTCTGAATGACAAAGAAGCAGATACAAACACCAAATTTGTATGCCATTGCAAACAACTAACTGGCAAGTGTAAACTCTGTAACTGATCACCACCTATACTTCTAGACAAAAAAGATTAACAAATTCACGCACATCAGATGATGGGATCTTATCAGTTCTGCACCAAAATTCTTAAAGCCTATTCTTATAACACCTCATAAGCAAAGGAGCTTCCTCTGTGCTGGACGTTTTCCAAGCAAGTCAGTAACTTAATGGGGGAAGATTCAGTCTTACTACAATGAACAAACAAAGCTTGACAAAAATACTTACTGCGGGATGAAAGACATTAATAGCCTGAACAGAGGCCTTGCCTTTTTGTTTATAGCCAAACACTAAGTCTATCCAGTGACAGATTGTCTGGGAAACATGGTCAGACTCCAAAGCTTGACGGTGAATCAAGATAAACAGACGAGGATCATTACGAGCCCAGGGTGGAAGATTGACATGATTAACTCTGTCACCATTTTGACGTACTCCAAAATCAAATCCTAGAAGCACAGGAATAAGTGTTCAACACCTTAGGTTAGTGACTTCATTAAAATCTTAATAAAGTTTTATGAAAACTAAAAATTAAGCAACATTATTGCCCATCAGCAAAGCAGTACCTTTAGCAAATCCCTTCACACACAAATGGAGAAACAGATCAATAGGAAATGCTCCTTTGCATCTAGAACAGAATTTATGAGCTATTCCTTAAGTCTTATGCAGCTTCTGTAGCATATCCTATATATTCATGCCAGATATAAACGTTCTCAATTTTAAACTTGTCCCAACCCCATGGCTGTTTGAAGTATGTAATTTTGGTATCCTCTTAGTATACCTTCTCTATTAACTAGAAAGTCTGGAAGGTAGAAAAATTCTGGGATGAGCTCCTTTACATCAGTCATTGATTCATATGAAGAGAGGCGCCAGGTTGTGTTGGTAGAATGAAAAGTTCTGTCTGGAATGTCAAAACTTTGATCTGTAAAAAAAGAAACAAAAGAATTTATTGCATTTTTGACAAAAATCAGTTGCACATCAGCAGCTTTGAAAAAGTCAACTGCTCTCTACTTAGCTGAGAACATTTTGAGTTCTATCCCAATTTTTGTTGTGTTAAACATGGACTAGAAGTTGAATACAGCTCAGCTTTTTATTCTAAACATCTACCAAGGTATAAACAAGTTTTTTCCTAATTTTGGTGCCTAATTTTGATAATTCAGAATGGGTCTATTCATTGTGTAAATACGCCAGATTCAATTTTACTAAACTCAGGTATTTGGAATTGATAACATACAGTTTTCCTGTGTTGTTAGGAAAAAAAACAGACATGAAAGCTACGTAAAAGTTAAAGGTAATCCTACCTTGATAGGCTAAAAACATTTTAGTGAAAGGTGGCAGCCGAACTAGGAAATGAAGCACAGTGCCACTGTTAGAATAATGAGATCCATAGTGGTACGGTTGTACAGGGGGCATCGGATCGTCCTCCCGTGCTCCTTTACGGTACTCTTCTTCCAAATACTAGGAAAGTTGGAGGAAAACATATCACAAACTAAGATCTTCAACAACTTGTGCTTGATAATAAAGGCAATTGCTGAGATCTCCTACAGAGTGTTCAATACTTCAGCTTCTCAGAAACTTCAGATATGCCCAAGACCATCTTTTTTTATTGAAGAACTCTACCCTCAGCACCTGGTACAATATACATTTTTCTGAAGTAACCAGTCATTTTTATCACCTACCATTCAAGTAGCATCTTACCAATTGTTCTGAACGTCCATTCAAAATAGTCACCTCTCAAAAGAGAAAAACGTTCTAAACTGTATTTTCAGGCATTTAACTGGCCTGTTAACTTGTACCAAACAAATCAGGCAGTTTGGTGCTCTACAGAAGCCATGAAAATGCCACGCTAGTACTAGAAAGGTAAAGGACAATCCTATTCCCTGCATTCCAGTAACAAAAATAAATGTTTGTCTAAGATTCTTAGGAATAACACAAACTTAGAGGAATACAATTAGAAAATGACAATACAGATAAGTTGGAAGGTCCAGCAGCAAATGCTTTCCAGCTTCTATGTTATTTTCTAAAGACTTTAAAAATACTCTAAAGAGCAAAAAACCAAGAGCACAACAGTTACAGCAGTGCGCGTTACAACAGAATACTGTCTTACTTTCAGTTACCCAATAAATTAGTCACAAGTTTCACTGAAATCACATCAATAGAACAGCAATAGATTATATATTTAAAGATCACTGAAGATATGTTCAGATGTAAGAGCATACCAATTCAACCTCCAGTATCTCACAGAAAGATTAAATTGATCTATGATTTCAGTGACAGGAACAATCTCAGATTCCAAATGTCATAAAACGATTCTAAGAAAATAACATACTGGAAATGAGAATTTCATCAATAAAATGCTGGCTTTGTGTCCCATCACCACCATCCTCCACTCCCTTGATACATATTAAAAAATAATTTATATATAACATATGCAACTTATACAGAGAACAGCAAAGAACAAACTTATCTGAATTACCTTGTAAGTATCCACATACCGATCCTCTTTTTCTTTAGACTGCACAGCTATTGGTTTGACCAGATTTCTGTAACAGAAGTAGTACCAATATCTTGTCATTTTTATGAAGATCTTGATTCACACCATTTAATAGTGCATTAAGAATAAGACCTTTAATATCACAAGAAGGACGAGCAAAACTTAACAGCTTTTTACAAAAAAATTCAGAAAATACAATGGTCACTTTCAGTTAATAGTGAAGGCAAACTCAGACCCATAGGCACACTAACAGGTAAGTAGGTGCACTCAAAGTGCCTCTGTCAAATCAAAAGCATCATTTAAAAGTGAATATTTTGTGCAGTGTTAAAATCAGCTTAACAAACTTACGGTGGGACAACTCACATGGATCAACTTAGTTAAGGCAATATGATTTTGTAACTGGCCACATTTTTTCACGGTTTTTATTTTTCTAAATGGCAAATGGCATGGAAGTCTTCACTCTCAAACTTAAACATAGGCTTTATTTAAATAATAGACTAGCTGCTGTCATAATGTGATACTGATAAGTGCGGTCCCTAACAAGCTATGAATACACACACCCATAACATCAGATATTTCATTTAAATATCTTAGGTGAAACAGCTACCTAGTGTAAAAAATTCAAGTTATTATGGGCCTTATTTCTGAACAGCTGTGCTCATGTATGTGCACAGTTCAGTAAAGTGAAATTCAATAGCTATCCCGATCACTTGAATTATTTGGAAATAACCAGTTCCAAACATCTCATATTACCTATATACTGATGGGTCATTTAGGTCCAGTGTCTCATTTATGTAGTCAGAAAGTATAAAGGGAAATACTGGATATTGCATGAGATCATTGAAGGAACGGCCCGCATGTTTGTTTAAATGAGTCAGGTATTCAAAGTTAGTAATCTGTCCCGTGCACCACAGGTGGGTCAAAGCAGTGATATTTCCATATTCCAGAAGGTTAGGCAAATTGTTAGTTAAGATGTTGTGGTACACATCATTACGGACCTAAAAGAAAATACCAGAGATTTAATCATATAGTTTTAAAAAAATCTTCAAAATAAAAAGACTTAGTAACTTTGTCTCACTTACAAATTTCCAGAGCTGTGTTGCAATGGATGGATGTCCAGTATGACTAAGATTCTTTCATGCCTTAGGACATCAGAGATGCATTTTACACCATGATTTTGTCAGACTGTCTGTCTAGAAGCCTAGCTGAGCATAGGCTTTTTTGCAGATATTAAGCAGAATTTATTACTAGTCCATGCAACAGCTCACTTTAAAAACTAACACATTCATGTATGTTACAAAGATACGGCAAAGTGCTTTGATGTATTTATTACACATCAGTGCTACATCACCTTTGTATTATCAAAAGCCAAGAGTAAAGTTCTGCCATTTGTCAGAAATATTTCCACAGCATTGTCTCTTAGCTGCCACCAACGCTTATGGACTTCCTTGATTTCCTCATAGGTCCAAGAAAATGATGCTGGTTCAGTCTCTCCATGAAAACTCTAAGGAACATGCAATTGAAAAAGTTACTCTATATATCAGGTTTTCCAAACAGGAAATTATTTTAGTTGGTACAGTTTATAACCATATAGCACATCTTAAGCAAAACAGACAATTGTGCTGTGATGCTTTAAGACACCGTGACTTTCTTCATAGAAGTTTCCCACATTCCTCTGTCCCCAAGACAGAAGGCAGAACATCATGCATACTCCTCAGCCCCTTCAGTACCACATCTAACACTCCAGCATAAGAAAGCTTTAATTGGCACTTAAACTGAAATACTGGATAACAAGAGAAAGCAAAGCTTGGCTATATATCCTAATTCTGCTGGTTCTGCAAAGGACAAAACATCAAAATAACCAATAACATCTTAAACCACAGGGCTGTGTGACATGTGCACAGTGGAGCTTCATGACAGTACATCAAGACTTTCGGCAGCATAACTCATAGCTTGATTATTTTCATCAGAAGGATTAAGTCAGTTCCTATTTCCTCCATAAAAGTCTTTTCTTGAAGAGGATAAGGAAGGTGATTTAGATCACCCTACATAATGAAAAATTCAAGTAACAGAGGTGGTGTAAAGCACAGCACAATTTATACACTTACGAATTTCTGTACTTCCTAATGTTCTGGCTTCCAGCAACTTGTTTTTCAGGTGCAGGCCAGCACAAGCTCTATGCAGCTCTGCTAATGAACTCAGAGTAATAGACAGAAGGAACCAAAGACTCCCAACACCACCCTCTCCTCATTCCCTTCCCAGCCTTAAGGAAGATGGATTTCTGATCCCACAGCAGGCTGCAACAGGAACCCAAAATATTTTCATTCACCTTGCCTGTAGATCTAACTCTAGCACTCCATGTAATGTCAGTGACAGCAGACAGAAGCAATTTACAATGCAGCTTGGAAAAATAAAGATTGGACAACGTGATCTAATACTTACAGAGTTCTCAATTGTGTCTGATGCGTTGTCCTCAACAAAATACATGCCACATTTTCCTGCAGGGAGAACCAGTTGCCAAAATGATACTACTCTTTGTATACTGCACCTTCATTTTAGTATAAACATTCAGTGTTTAGGTGTTAAGAGAACTAAGAGTAGTATCTGAAGAAGCAGTAGTTGAGAAACATAGAATTCAATATTCCATAACCTTTGGAAAGAGTTCTGCAACTTTAAAAATAACTACAGTCCAAACAGTACTCAAGCAGATGCCATAGCTGAGCTATAGGATACATTATCCATGAGAAGTCAAGAAACCATTCAATTATATACTGCTCTTCCTAACATATTCATAACAAGGATATTCTTAGCTAAACAGCTAAGTTTACATATACTGCAAAATCTTAGACAAAACAGAATATTTATGAGAACTGAAAATGGAATTTACCTAGCAGCAGCTCACCAGCAGTCTCTCTAGAAGGTGCTACACTGATACATCTTCGATTAACTCTGAAATAATTCAGAAGTTAGTTACTTCTGGCACGTACTTAGAACTAACAGCCTTAAAAGGTACAGTTGAAAACAGAGCTCTCAACACCATGACTGTAAAGGTTCTAATTCCAAGGAGATAAAGAAATTAGAACATTGATGTTCTGGGCTTACATACAAATGTATTTGTATTTAATTTATTGCATCGTATGTTCTTTTCAGTCATTTTAGGCAGAATTAGTGACTGTAATACATGATAAATTAACTTAATGCTTACTAGCTAAATAATGTTTTATAACGCAATCCTAAAGCAGGGAAGATGAAAGACCAGTTTACTGATGGAAAGACCTACAGATCTAGTTGTACTACCTTGCACTGGATAGAGAAGTAAGAAAAAAATCCCATCAGGCTGTCCCAGAGAAGACCCATACCCACATCACACCACGTGGTATTTCTTTTTACAGATTTTCAAACTCGTGGAGACAAACTGTTTTAAGAATCAGCAAACATACATGTTGGTAGCTCTGCTACTTGGCAAGTATAGCAAGAAAATCCACTACGTTCTGACTTTGTCTCTTACTTCACTCAATTTCTTAATGTTCACACTAACAGTGAGGAAGAGCTTTGTTGGCATGAGAGAAGGTGGAAAAGGAAGGCAGATCTTAAAAAGTTACCTTATATGTTCACTTGCAGCTTTATCCTTTACAGTTGAAGAATGAGAAGAATGTGTTTTATCTTCAAATAGGTAAGATAGGGGAGGTTTTATTATGCCTATTAAAAAAACAAAAAGCAATAAAGCACAAGCATTCACTGTTATTGAGATCCATTGTTGAAATATATTATAATCACCTTCCTGCTTCTGCCTGTCCGGAAGAAGGTATTTATTTGGAATAGTTAGGTAGCACCTCTGCAAGCGCCTCCTCTCCCTGTTTGGGCCCTCTGTTGGATCCAGTTGCCAAGAAGTTGGGTAATAGACTGGGTCATACCAGAGTGCTCTGAAAAAAGAAAAAGAAAAAATCAAAGTTGGTTATAGTGTTATTCACTCAGGTTCTGTTTAAAAGGAAGAGTTGCAGTAGCTACACAGCACTGGGCAGTTTTTTCTGCAAAATAATTAAAAAGGCAATTATGTTGTTTATTCTCATGAGCTATCCCCACTGACTTGCTGTTTATGAACAGTTACTGTAAGACTGCTCTTTATGTTATTAATTCTGATGAAGTCAGCAACACAACATGTCTGAGTGTTTTGAAAACACAGCTATTGCAAACATTAGTTCAACACTGGCAAAAGTATCGTTGTTTAGTTTCATGTCAAAACATCAGATTAGCACATTAGCAAGCACAGTAGCTGGATGTTAGTATGAATGATATTAATCAAAAGTACTTTGTTATTCCATCGCTATAATGCAAGATGTTAAATCTCCACTAAGTTCTTCATTTGACTACGTACAGCGAAATGTTATCTGACAAAAAACAGAACTATCTCAGTAACAGAAATAATACTTGGCTTACCCGCTCTAAAAAATTGAAAGAACAACTCAGAAGTATTTCACAGGTCTTTAACCATCAAATGATTAATATATTAGTCATTCTAATTTTATGTAATCTACATTTCAGTCATCTAAGTAGAATGAAGTGCACATCAGGCATCTCCCCCCTCTCCACTTACCGATCATGCGTAAGCTGCTGAACAAGCTCCTGCCAATGTCTGCTGGCACTCAGCTCTGCCTTATACATCCCCCTGATGTGCTGGATAACTTTCTTTCTTTCCATTCCTTGTGAGAGAGATACAGCCTGTGTGATGTCTCCAGCTATTTTGGAAATATCTTTAGATTTTGTATCCAGGCGTTGAAAGAGACTGAGGGAAAAAAAGAATCATGCTTCAACGTGTCAAATCACATTGAAAATGAAAGCAAAAACTCTTACAAAATGCAGTCAGTGTTGTTAAGTTCAAAAATCCCACGTTTATAATAATGACACAGGTAACTGTGATAGAACATGCTAAGCATGCAGCATTCCAAGAGAGTTTTCACAGTTCTTTTAAGCACTTACTTTTGTCGATTATTTGCCATTGTTTTCTCCCAGGCAGCTCTGTTCACACCTTCTTCCACCTCATACTTCTTTTGATCCTGAACAGAAATTTTATGTTATTTCTCCCATGTCAGAAATAATTAAGCAGAAACTAAAGGATATTCCAGTTTAAAAGGAAGACTGTCAGAAAACTGTTGACCTGATACCTTGCCACATCTTCATTTCAATTAATGTCACTGTAATACATTTAGAATTAATCTTATTTTTTTGCAAAGAGCCAGAAAAATTCATTTTTTCCAGACCATTTGATACTAGAAGATTACTGCAAGCTCATATTTTTGCTTTAAGTAATATACTTAACCAGGGAGCAGTAACACATGAGATTGCTGCGAAATGTTGAGCATGCATAAAAATTCAGAACTCAAAGAGAATCCCAATAAAAAAACCATAAGCCATGCTCAAAGCCAACCAAACCCTCTTCATTAGAGCTCAATTCCCATACAATAAACAGTTGTCTTAAGTAAATCTGCTTTACTTCAGAAGGTTGTTTGTTCACAAACCTCTTTCAAAGCTTTTATTACATCTGGTTTTGGTCTTGGGCTCAGAGGAATACATTTATAGCCACAACATTTTAACGTATTCACAAAGTCTCCCGCTGCCGTTTGTTCTTCTTTGGTCAGATCATCAATGTGATTGCACATTAACTCATATAGATATAGTACTAATTTAGGTCCATGCTAAAAGACAAAAAGAAGGAAGGCAGGAAGAAAAGAGGCATGGTCATTCTCAATTCTAAAACACATACAGCACTGAACTTCTTGCTTCCTCTAATCTTATTTTCCCTTTCCCAATCACCCAGGACTTCTACTTTTTCTGTGATTAAAGAAAATGGCTGCTTTGATGTCCAAAGACGAACTTGCTGAATGTAATCCTCTACATTTTTGAGCTTCTCCCAGCAACTTGTGGCTTTTTAAATGGCTTACAGAAAAGATAATATTCTTGTGCAAATACTCTGATCCTCTAGAAACACTGATTATACTTCAATGAGTATGTCTCAGAAGTTCCTAATTTTACTTTGTTTGATTAATAAATTAGAACAGACAAATAAGAAAGTTAAGCAGACACAGGCAATAAATGCTCTCCACATGACATATCCAGAGAAGTCACTGCTAGCACATCAGCTCTTTTACTACCATACATGTGATCAGAAATGTGTCATAGGTTCATTCAGTGAGTACTTTCTCTCCTTATCGTGTACTGATATTATTTAATTCTTGCAGAAGATCCCAAACAGCAATGTTCCTATTCCATAACAGGTCACGACTAAGAAATGCTTTCTCACAAGACTGCAGTACACAAACAGACAGATCAAAAGTGTGGTTTTTTTCCTTCCTTTTAAATCCCAGAAATGGAGAAGTCATTCAAGTATTTAAGTTTTAAAAACATAGAACACACAATTTCACTTAGAGAATTAAGACTAAATAAGGAAAAATACAGTACTGCTTTAATTGATGACTAACTTACTCAAGATATTGTAGCAATCAGTTCTAACAAGTTTCAGAAAGTCTGCAGATAGAGTTCAGGGCAAGCATAACGCCTTCATTAATTTCTTTCAAACATCTTCCAGTTCCTCCTGTTAAAACTAGTACTACTTTTTGGTTCTATATGACAAAGATGTGCTACATAGTCACAACAACCAGAAAGAATCCCATTTTTGCCCATTATAAAGCTGTCTGTCCTCAAGATAACAGAGTAACTGCAGATATGCATGCAGGCTAAAATAGCACTGAAGAACTCCAGGCACAAACCCTGCCCACATTAACTGTACTATTTAAACCAGAAATTTGAATCCAAGCTCTATAGACTCCCCTAATACCCTAAAGCTTACTTGCAAAGTTGGGCTAAGACAGTCACACAGAATCTCCTGATGGTTCACTTCACGGACCATCTCCAAAGCCTGCCTTCTTTCTTGCAGTGGCCTTGCTGGAGACAAGATGTGCACAAGAAGTCTTCCAAGCTGTGTACGGAAAGTGTCTTTACATGACAAGAGGATTCTCTTCCACTGCTGCTTGGGTGTGCTTGTTCTGCTGGTGCCCTAAGGTAAAGGGACATTTCTTTTTAGACTTCAGAGAGGGATAAGGCTTCCTTTTATAAGATTTATTTACATTGCAAAAAGAAACTTAGAGTTAAAATGATCCAAGTGTAAAAGCAATAAAGACTTCTCTACCAAAATAATGTGTTTTATTTACTGTTTTACTGTATGTTTGAAGGCGTTTTAGAAAAAGGAAACCTTTGTTTCATTTTTAGTAACAAGATGAGCATTTTCCCTCGATAGGCTAATGACAGGAATGCACTGAACTGAATACTCAGAGGGAACATGCAACAATTCAAGAAGTAGATATCAGAACAGGAGGTTTAAATATTGAAGGGTTTGTTTTGATATGCAGCTCATCTGCAATGGATTTTCTCAAAAGATCAGAAACCAGGCATTTGATTGAAGTGCTAGGGCTCAAAGAGACATGCAGGCTTTGAGAAGTACTACAGGTAAGGCATGATGGGAAGATAACTGACCTAACAAACTACATTTTCCAAAGCTAGAAAAAAATTAGATTGTGCTAATTTTTATAGAGATGACTTAAGAGATACCCAGACGCAATGAGCAATAAGTTCATTTTTCCCAGTATAACATTTCAAATTACCCAAGTGAAACATAGTTACCTTGGACAGGTTGACAGGCTAACAACTCTATGCTAGAAAACAAAATTCAGCAATAACTGAAAAAAGGTTCCACTTCCTGATACACCCAAACGTCATTAACTGTTAAATATATTATAGACAAATTGCTCAGATAAACTTTATTTATTTATTTATTTATTTTTTACTTTTTATGCATCATCCGTGGATGTACAGCAAACCTGCTTTTATAGGGTCCAACAACAGACCAATAGGGGAAAAACAAGTCTATTCATCCTGTGTGAGTGCATTATAGAAACTGAATTTTGCTAAATGTTGTGACTGAATCTGAACAGACATTTAGTATTTCACAACTAGAGAATAACTGGGAAGCTGAATAGGTTTTAATAGCACCACAGCTGAACTGAGAGAGGCAGCAAGAAAAACATTTACGGATAGAAAGCTTTAGGTATAAGAAATTCCTAACAAGTGAACCTTATGAAATATGCTTTTATGTGGAAAACACGTAATTAGTTACTTACAGGGGACAGTTTGACTCCTTCCACTAACATTTTGAACATTTCTTTCAGAAAAGGATTTGTTCTGTTAGGCAGCTCTTGCTGGATCTCTTCTTCAGGAACTTCCAGCTGGGATGCTGCAAGCCTGCTTTGACTTGCCGTTTCTGTTATACCCAGTATGTCAAAGCACTCTTCAGTAGATGCTTAAAGTTTAATAGACAAATTGATCAGTACCATCTCAACCAAGCTAATCCTACATTCCTTTAGCTGGCATCAAATCAAACATTGCCTTTACCACCACTAATAGCATTGCTTTCCTTTCAAACTCTCTGAAATCAAGCACCCATTTGTCACAGAACACTACCCTGGCACTGTCAAAACAAATAAACAGAAAATCCTACCTAAATAAATGAGTCTGTTTACAGCAAGGACAGTTAGCCTCTGTAACCTTTGTACAAACTCAGTCTCAGTGGCTTGGATAGGATTTTCTTGACTCATTCTCCGTTGCATCATCATATTAAACTCCTCACTTGCTACTGAACGCATTTTCATCAGCAGAGCATCAGACTGAGCAGGCGAAAATTTTCTGGAACCTTCAAGTAAAGAAACATTAAGAAGTGTCCTAAAAACACACCAAGTTAATCACCCAGTTACTGTCTTCATCAAATGATGCAAAAATCTTTGGATGAATCAAACACTTGAAATACATTAATGTTAAACGGAGTAAGTGTCATTAGGGTGCTTGCCTCTTTCAAGATTTCTCACATTTGAAAATGAATACATAAAGAAAGGGCACTATAAAATAAGTTAGTGTCAAGATGAGATTTACTGAGCAACCTAGGTATTTTTGTGCAGAGCAGATTTTAAGGCACTTTTATTCCTTTTTTGTTGTGCAATTATGATAAAGGATGCTAGAGTTTTTCATGTATTTATTTTTACTATCAGAAGATAGATTTATCAATGCAAATGAGGAGTCACTTAGAATTACAACATATAAACAAACATTTTGTATCATATCCATTGCCGCCAACATTAATACAGTTAAAAATAGTTGTGTGTCATCAAAATATCATTGGAGGAAAAACATCTTCAACTGCCAAGCCTTGACCGCATTTGATTCTTTCAGGAAAATGTTACAGTCATAGCTCTAACTCTACTTATATCGTTTTATTACCTTTAGTGCCTTACTAGATTCACTAGCAAAAATATTTTTACTATATTTACTAGGCTGAAAGGCCTTGAAAGCTAATCATATCAAGCAAGAGGTTCCATAGTGAATAAGGAAAAAAATACATTTTTTTAAACAACTGAAGTACATATCAGGCTTTAAATTATACATCCTACCAAGTCTTAAACACAGTTTCCAGTCAGAAGATTCCAAAGGCTTTATAGAATTCACAAGCCATTATATACACAGACAGTATTACTCTTGAATTGCACAAATGTTTTTACAGAAAATGCCATGGCCCCAATTAAATTTACAATGCAAGGTATTACTTCAGGATAAATCACCTGTTTAAAGCTGTGTAATAGTGCAATACCCACATTGTAGATACACTGAATTTAGAAGAACTAACTTTATTTTGGTATTTCATTGTGAAGTTAGGTATAAAACTACTACAAATTATTTGAAAAATGTTTTCACTAAGCAACTCATGAATTGGGAATCTCTTCAAAGGCAGGCAGCAGCTGAATTTAGAGACTCAAGTGAGGAAAAAGTTGACTGAAGTGTCAATGCAGTATCCCATTCTCCCCTTGTAATACAAAAACAAGCTCAAAGTACGTACAGGCTTTTCTGTTCCAAAATATATATATTGATAAATAAAGTCAATAAATCAATACATATTTTAGAACAAGATTCACTTGCTCTATTATCAAAATTAGAGTTTAAAATAGACATTTCACTAGTAATAAACAAGGGCAAGAGTACAAGCATAGACTTCTGCTGCTTACCAGCAATGTCTTTACGCTTTTGAAACATTGCACGATGTGCTGCAGATAGTGATGGGGCCACACCAGCCTGCTCCTGAGCATCTCTGTTTGCTGTAGTTCTTATTAATTCAATAGCTGCTTGAAGAACTCTTAACTGCAGAGCAACTGCCATATCTATAGGAAGAAACAAACATAGGATGTGTGACAGATTCTTACCTCACAAGTATTCAAGAACTTTCATCAGATATTTGTACAAAAAAGTAAAAGAACACTAAGTGTGAGAACTAAAATCCTAGATTTTCAGGAAGCCATATAGAAAGCCAGCTCATTATTACACAAAGGTACGTGATACATAAGTGAGTACTCACAGAAAAGTTGTTGAATTGTGAAATAAGCTAAAAACAACTTCACAGACTGTTTCTATTCAAACATCCTGTATGAACTTAGAGCTGTTGTTCCTTCAGATTAGCAGTACACAACCACAAGACAGGCTTCCAAGGAAGAGTACTACTTTGAGAAGAAAGATAATCTCAAAAGCAGAAAAATTCCCCCTTCTTGCTCAAATGGAATATTAAACCAACTGGCTGGAAATGGATTTACTTCTCCAGTCCTGCGACCCCCAACAATAAGCAAATATCTTACTTTGCATCCTTGTATTTTTACTGTTTTGAAGATGACCCAGCAGCACAATGAGGTCTTCAATAACACGAAAATACTGTGAACCTGAGGAGCTGCAGGCATGAATTGCAACTGCTACCAGGAGCTGTTGTATATCACATGCGAGTAGCTTGTAATCGTTTAGGGGAATGCTGCAAAGAAAGTTGTAGTTACCAGAAACATTACAATGCCAGCAGACCATAAGCTGTAACGAGACCTATTACTATTTTCCCTGCTACTTCTGCCAGCCATATCTAATATTATATTGTATCTGATATAAAAACATTGCTGCTGAAAGCTAGGAAATTGTAATCAAAGAGCTTAACTTTTACAAATTGGATGCCTGAAAAATCTTTATGACAGTAAAATTAAGATTGTAACAAAGTTCCATCAGAAAAAACGATGATTTTTATTATCAGATTCATAAGTTTAAGAACAGTTCTGAAATCTAAATTTCTCAAATAGTATCTCGAGGAATTCAGGATAATCTCTCATTCTATAAGCATCCTGAATTTAAATTATGAGATTATAAAAAAAATCTACTTAGTTCTTCAGTGTATCAAGAAATAAACATGCAAGACACCCCACTTCTCCTTTCTTCATTGTATAACCTTCCTTAAAGGAGTACAGAATGTTCACAAACAAAGTAATTTAAGTTACTCGACATCTCAAATGCTAATTGACAGGCAGCACAGGAGGGATTCTTTGCGCACTTTCAACATTTGCCACAGATATGGCAGAATGCTACCAACTCCTGCACCTTTATTTTACTTTTCAAGTTTTACTAGGAGAAGCATCCAGAACACACACTGAATCCTGCATTTCAAAAGGTCCCTTCACTTGAAAACTTAAAGCATTCAAAGGATATTTTATAAGCAGTGTATTCTATTGTTTAAACCAAATACCTAAACACTAGCTTTTACTTGGAAGTACAGTTAAAAGCTGTAAATACAGCATTTTATACATGGTCTCTGAACATTTTACAAAGTACGAAGAACACAATATGCTTCAGTTTCTGCTACTCCTAACATTGTGTCTGTGTTATCTTATAGCAATGGATAAAATACTCACTTGGTTTCCAGTCCATTGAGAGCAGCCAGAGTATTACACAGCACATACAGCAAACCATTATCAAGCAGCAGGTCTGCGACTTTTGAGCAGGAATTTATAATTTGTAGTAGGAGACAGAAGCAGTTATGCAGCAAAACATTATCATATAAAGAGTTCTCTATCAGACCCAGAACAGGAATGACACACCATTTTTGAAAAAGTCCAACATTCTTGACATCTTCCAGATCAAATCTATTAAAATAAAGAAGTCAGCAAGTCTTTAAAATAGCAGCATGGTATACACTGTATTTCTTAAATGCTACAATAATAGTTTATAATAGCATTTTGGCAAAGGTTTAGATGGCAAATTCTTACATTTCATTACAGTAACACAGTAACTACCACTGAAATAAGAGTGAAATAAAACATTTGGAGAAGCCGTAAGGAAATGAAGTACCTAAAAATGAACCTGGTACTTTAGCTATCTACCAATGGTCTTCAGTATAGATTGCATGCAAGAAGGTTTGATTTTTTTTTTTTTTTTTAAATCAATAAACACAAATGACTTATTTCCAGTAATAAATATTACAACTGGCACAGACAATACCAAGAAACCAAACACAGCCTGACTTCACTTAAGTCATACTGACCTCGCAGCACATCTGATATCTTATATCCATTATTGGTGAGGTTTAGATCAACTTTGGCAACTTCTAACTTACTTCAAGTGCAGAACTTAAAAGCAGAGCTTCAGGCCTTGCATTAACAAACTGGATTATTCTAAGGTTATCATCCCATCTATTAATGTACAATCCTAAAAGAATGTGAATCTAAGAATTAACTTTCCAGCCCCATAATGAGTCCTGAGAAAATAACAGTTCTCTGCTTTGGGGCTGGTTAAGCAGCCAGAAGGTTCAAGTCTTGCGATAAAACAGGAATATTTGTACTGAGTGAAGATCAGGCCAACATGCACAAGTTACTGGTTACAAATACTGCAAGAAGGCAACTGGGACTGAGCTTTTTTCCAAGATTTATCTGCTGTTGACTATGCTTAAATGCATGTTCTCCCTACACAATCATTAACATTGTCAAACTAATTCTAAAATACACCACTTGCTTAGAAAGTTGGTTGTCTGCTTGAAGCATCTCTCTGTTTCTGCCAGTATGGGGAGTTTCTTCAGTTCAAGTAAATGGCACATCTGTGGGATATGCCCTAAAGAAGTGGCATTTGCAATCAGGACTAGTCAGGAGAACAAGCAGCAGCAAGCTTTTTCCTCAATTACTTATCAAAATCCAGTAGTAGCAGTCCAGTAGGATCACAGATGAAAAAGAAATTAAGCTGACTACAGTAAATTGAAAGTGTGAAGACCTCTGAGATCCTCATAAATCCTGAGGGTTTAGAACATCCCAGCTGATAGCACCCATCAGATGAAGTTGCTAACCAGCAGCTTAAGGACCTTACAATAGTACTTTAAAGTACATTTAAAAATACGCTAAAGCAACAACACAACATTTAAAGTTTTTAAATGATTTTTTTTTTTAAAGGAAGGAAAACAAGAATCAGAAACCTATCACATTTTTGCTTTCAGCAAGAAAGTGCAGCTTTTAGTTCAAATATTAAGTTATAGGATGCAAAAACAAAACATTACTTACTCTTCATCCAGGCCAACAGAACGGCCAAAGAGCATTTCCAAAAAGCACTCTACAACTTCCTGAGTCCCCTGGTGAAGGTAGAGCTGGTTGGCAAGCAAGGAGAAGCCGCGATTCTTTAGGAATTTTTCCTTCTGCTCTCTCCTTGCTCTGTTGAAATATGCATCCAACAACTAAAAATAAATACATAATTGTGACATAAGACTTCAATATTTACAAATTCAATGAAAGCTTAGTTTTTATCTGCAATTTAAAGAATTGATTTCAAAGTTTAAAAAAATTGTGATATTTCAACTACAGTCTAAACTGCCCTTATTTCACACAACAGTTGAATTTATCTTTTTAATATGAAGACTACTTCTGGTTTTTACTCAGGTTCAAGGGAAATTGAGTCACATTCATAACAAGCACAGAATCACAGAGTGGTTTGGGTTGGAAGGGACCTTTAAAGATCACCTAGATAGAACCAACCCACCACAGGCAGGCAGAGACATTTTCCACTAGTTCAGGTTGCTCAAAGTCTCCTCTACTCTGACTGAAGATTTCCAACAGTAAGGCATCCAAATCTTTTGTGAGCAGCCTCATCATAAAAGGATTTCTTTCTTATACATTTAGACTGAATGCATCAGTTGATTTAGATTTAGAATTGTTGCATTTGTTAATCCCTCCACCTTGATGTGTAAACCATTGGGCTCAGCACAAAGATCATATTAATCTCATAAAGATTCCTTAGGCTTGGTGTTACGGGTTGTTTTTTTTTTTTTTGGCCTTTTGGTCTGTTTTTGTTTTTATAATCTGTGAGAGTAGAAACAGATCTTAAAACTGAGAAGTAAGTCTACAAAAATGAAGGCTTTTTCATGTTTCTGATGCTAGCTAAGCTAGAAGACGATTTCAGATTTTTCTATTGGCCTACTTTAATGACGCCTTGTTGTACGAGAGGAGATGGGTGGTTCACAAGAACTATAAGATAATCAGGTTGAATAAGCTTGTCCATCACATCCTCTAGCATGACATCTGGTAAAATTAGGAGAACTCCACGCAAGAGGTCATACAATCCACAACAGATAAGCACAAGATAGTCTTCTGTATACCTGAAGACAGAAGAATATGTTTTACCACAGTTCATTGCCAACAATAGGAAACATTATAAACATATAATTGCTAGTTACTGCTGAGATTGAGGGGGTGGAATAGGGGGGGATTTGACATTTTCCCAGTGAATCCCTCTTTACTAGTACTTATTCTTTATGTCTAATATTTACTTTTGATTTTGGGTAACAAAAGAGTAATGTGATCAGAAATACTACTATGAGTTTTCTGATGAGATAGCAGAACAAGTCCATGCTCCTACTGTACATAGCATCATTAACTCCCAAAGATATAAATTTGAGAATTAAAAATTAAACAATTCTATAGACTACCAAGAGCTTAATGAATTGGTTTAGTACAGCAATTGAAAATATTTCCCTACTCTTGCAGATTTCTTAATATTGTAGGACAGTAGCCAAGATGAAGAAATGGCTAAATAAAGCCTTCCCCAACAGAGTGAGCTACTGTTTATTTATTATGTTTTTATCTGCTTACCTCTCATCAGAGCTTTCATACGTTTTTCGGGGATTCTCATTTGCTGAGGAAAAAGCAAGATTCTCCCATTCCTCAGGAAGTGCATTCTTGTCAGCAAAACTTGGCCAGCGAGCAATGGCTGAGGATCCTCCGTGAACAGAAAATGCTAAGCCCAACCCTGCAAAAGTACTCTGACTCTTCTGAAGAGAAGGTAATCCTTTCAGATTGTCTGGACGACGCAGCAACAGCTGAGGTGCAGCATCACCTTTACATTTCAGGTCTGCATCTGCTTCTTTGCTCTCAAATGTGTTTTCAGATAGCTCTTCTTTTGGAATGTCTTCAAACATTTCAGCAGATGTTAACTCTGAATCACAAACTGTTTTTGCAGACTCACAACTGCTAAGAAAATCTTCCTGTACCCTTTTTACGGTTTCGGAATGTCCTTCAAAAACAACTCTACCCTCAAGATCAGTGTAATCATATTTGCCAATATTCTGCAGGTCATCAATGCTCCTTTGCGATCTTTCCATTAATCTTCTTCTATGTACTTGAGGTGATGAAGTAGGAGATGCTGGTAAGCTTTTGCAAAGCCTTTTAGGTACTTGAGAACTTATCTTCTGCTGTACACTAATCTCAGAAGTATCTCCTAGAGAAATAAGAATATCTTTAGCATTGCCTTTGCCCTCTTAAGCGTTTCCTTAACTGTTTTATTTGCATGTGGAATGTAACACTGATGCCCAAACTAATCCTATGCAGCAAAACTGATTCCACACCTGGCATAGATCAGATTCTGCCAAACAATCAAGTAGAGATAACAGATCACTGTGCAGCCATACATTTGGCAAGTCATGGTCAAGTGAGGACAATGCATGAGTTCATTTGGAAAAACTGTTCAGCAATTCATGCTCTTAGATTTACCTTCTGGATCCTCTTAACTAAACCTCAGAAGGAATTTACTCAGAATCACTGAAGGCGGAAAGCTGCTATAAAGACCAACTTTTTATTCAGGTAGATTGTGACAGGACAAGGGGGAATAGATTTAAACCGAAAGGGGAGGTTCAGGTTAGATGTTAGGAAGAAATTCGTCACTGAGACAGCAGTGAAACACTGGAACAGGCTGCCCAGTCAAGCTGTGGATGCTCTATCCTTGGAGGCATTCAAGGCCAGGCTTGATGGGTTCCTGGGGTGTCTGATATAATGGCTGGCAACTCTGCCCACAGCAAGGGGGCTGAAACTGGATGACCCTTAAGATCCCTTCCAACCCAAGCTGTTCTATGAAGATGTCTATGGAAACTATCTAATTCAACCCCTCTGTTCAAAGCAAAATCAAAGAACAGGCTGCTCTTCCCTCTAAGAGGTTTAGGTTTAATCTACCAACATGTTTCAGTGGGCACTGGCAAGCTGCTCACCAATGAATTTAACTTTTTTTTTTTTTTTTTACACTAAGGCATTACATGTACTTTAGATTTGTAACAAATTACTGCATATTCTATACAACAGTTTGCTTTTTAGGGGCACATTTTAGCCTGAAGCAGTCCTAATTTAGAGCACATTACAGGTATCTCCCTTACCATTTTCAAGAGGGATAACAGTCTGGTAGAGGAAGTTCTCTTAGTCTAGGAAAAGGAGCTGGGAGTATTTCAAAAACTACACACAAGTTAGTACTAATGCAATGACGATGCATAAGAACATTATATACTTAATCCACAGAAAGTATTCAGATGCATCACAGGATAGCTGCAAATGGCTCACTATTTTAACTGCTGTCTATTTAAGGTTTTCTCATACGTCTCTACAAGTTTAACAGGAGTTGTTCAGCCATCTGGTCCACTTCTCTGCCTGAGCTAGCAACATAGTAATTTCTCCTACATTTAAAAAAAGAAGAGCAGCTGAGGCAGTCTGCTCAATTCCTTCTTTTTCACTCTGCTGCCCAACATCTAGTTCCAAGAGGTGCTGATACAGGACTTAGGAAGAAAAATCTGTGGGAAAGCAATACTCCAAGACTCTACAAAGGACAGCATCTTAACATCCTTAGGTGTTCATTGTTTTACCTTCCAGTGGTAAAGCTGCAAATCCAGTTGGAGTTGTAACTACGAAGGCAGAACTATCTGCAGACTTCCCACCACTGCTGGAATTTCTCAGGTACATAAGGGATTCAACTTTCTCCTGAAAAATTTTACCATCTAGAAATAGAAGGGGAAAGTTAACACAAAAGCTTTACAAGTTCATTCTTGAATATTAAGATTCACAGTGTTCAGGTTACAGTTTAAGCTAACAAGAAGTGCTCAACTCACTAGCATCTGAGAAAAATCACTTGAGAACAGGTTTTTCATTGTTTCAGTGACTCATCTCCATATTTTATTTCAGAATACAAAATATTAAACTATTCTGCAGTAATTATACTTAAAGACAGTCCTCACATGCATACAGCTAGAAACACTGAAATTGGCTGTGCCAAAACAGTGACTGTTTAAGTTCACCTAACAAAGCTCAAAACACCAAAAATGAGTTCTACTCTTTCTTAGAATTTTACATCTAATATTTTTAGATGAGCGATAAGATACAGCCACAATGCCTTTGAATAGAAGTCAGTTACTAAAATGGGAGGCACAGGCATCTGCAACAGGAAAAAGCATTTTTAACTGATCAAGTTTTCAGTTTTTACAAAGATTACAGCTAAGGTAGTACGATTTGAATATTAAAACTATTACACTGTTAAATGACAAGGGTTTAATAAGCAGCAAGCATTTAAGTGAAGTGGCAAGAAAATGCTCCCCAAATGGGATTTAGATCTGACAACATGCTTGAGTGCAGTTTTCACTGACTTATGTTTATAATTTACAAAGGACATTCTGGAAACACTACAGAAATCTTTGGTGGTATGAGGCAGTGTGAGCTCCTCTGGTCGATAACTTCCTGAACTAAGCTTCTGTAATTATTATTTATATGAAAAATCCTGATAGATTGATACTCAGATCAGTTAAAATTTATTTGAAACAGTCTTTTGTGGCAAATTTATATAACAGGACAACTAACAATTTCTCCAAATCAGATGTCTAAGTACAGGTCCTGGCTTTAAAACTTCATGTATAGCAGTAACAATTGAAATCCTATGAGATACACTAATAAATGGAATTGGACAATTTTTTTTTTTTTTTTAAATCAGTAAAGTAGAATTACTTTCATTTTTATGTCAGACTGATGTTTTAAGCAAACGTACCTGAAGACCCCAGCTGAACATAAACATGCTTTCACTAGAACCACAATTGCCTAGGATGTTAGCCTTACTGGAGAGAGAGAGAGTACTCAAAATGAACATCTGTTACTGATATGTATAGTCCTCTGAGCCTAAGCTTCTGATGCTGTAAAACCATATGTATCTCAGAGTCATCAGATTTGTATATAGTCATAAGCATTGTGTCCTTACAGGCACCAAATGTTATGCATTACGCTTAGCAGCAGCAAACTTTAAAGAAAGTTCAGGACACAACCAAAGTTATCTGTAGACAGATTAAAGCCTCTACTCAGCGATCAGAATATATTTTATTCCAATCATGTATTTATAGTTAAACATGACATATCTACCTATGTGCAGGGAGAAGTAGAAGTTGGTAGGATTGTGACAAACATATGTATTAGTGGGAGGGTGAACAGCTAAGAGGAAATTGAAGACCAGTGTCAGCAATTCCAGGTCTGGGGGAGATCCAAGTACTTCTTCAATTATTTTCACAAATGACCTACAAACTTCCCGAGGCAGAGAGGCAAGGTGCCCTTCTTTATGCTCCTAGAAAGAAAGAGCAGTATAACTGCTATTTATACTTTTCATCAGACAGTATTTTTTAATTATCATGCTGTAATAGGAAAACAGACAAGGAAAAAAGCAATAAAAATTGTACCATTTGAAAAACTTGAAAAAGCTGCTGTACCTACTCAACATTATCTAAGGGGAACAATATCAAAATTCAGAACAAAATATTGCTGACGTTATGTAAGTTCACTTCCAGTAGATTGGCACAAATCTGAACTCATTAGAAAGCCTGCAGAGGTTTTCAGTCATCGCTAACAATAACATGTTTCTGAAAATATACTAATATAGTTTGTGTCATTTTCTCAGAAATAACAAATTAGACTACTGCTAAAACACAGAGTTATTAGCTAGAGGCAGATACTAAAAGATTCTCATATAATTCATCTGTTTCTCAGTAATGAGGACTTTGTTCTGTATCAAAGGTTCACGATTTTTTTTTTTAAGTTCCCCTCATGCATGGATTTTTCAAGCAAACCAGTGTCCAAGCCTTCAAGTAGACACAGGTGGTTAAGAATTGTTGCCCCTTCTGGCCATCAGAGAAATACTGCTCCCTCTGCTTAAACTGCCAGTGCTAAGAGGACTTAGGGTACTCTAGGGTACATCAACAATGCCTGCTGAAGAGGATGAAAGGGGCCTGGAAGCAGGGAGGACATACAAAGAAATGCCTACAACATTTTTTCCCCATAGCACATAATCCCATATTTTTTCCATTAAGCAAAATCAAATCTAATGTTTGCCAAGCACAAAATAGGATCAGACTGGAAGTACCTGCAGAACCTGGCAGGTTAACAGGAAGTGGTGCACCACTTGAGCTTTCAATAGCTGTTTAACATTAAACATCTGTTGGTGATGGTTAGCTCTGATAAGGATTTCTAGAGCTGCTAACAGAGTTTCCCAAACACCTTGCTGAAAAGCAAACAAAACAGGAATATGGTTTAAAATATAATACTGAGTCCATACTGCGCATAAAAAATAATTAACAGATTATGAATTAGTCAAATCAAGAGCACTTTTTGCCAGCGTGAAATAAGATCGACTGTAAACGGACAAGTCCAAACTAGAAACCAAAGTTACACTCATTGCAAGAGAACATACCTTACTGATTAAAGCTACAAAAGATTACATTTTATCTAAGCCATCTGTCACATACTCTTTGTTTTGTTAACACCAACTGGATAATTTCAGATGGATATTTCCCCCTTACAAAACTGTCAGCGTTGATTAAAAAAAAGTTATCTGTTCAACCAATAAATCATTTGCACATGTTACATTTATAGAATTTAATGCACTACAGCAACCTTCAAAACTGGCACTGGGAGCTTGACACTGCTACCAGCTATTCAAAATAAAACAAGAACCATTTATTTTTAGATGTCTGTAACCATTCAGATTTTCTAACTGAAGAAAAGCATTTCAGACTTCTAACCATTTTAATTGACTTTCAGGCTTAAAAAAAAAGTCTTACAAAAGAAACGAATTACCTTTGCTTTAGACCAAATCTTCCAGTCAAGAAGCAGCTTTTCTAACAATTGAACATCCTGGATAACTGCTGTAGAATCTGTGTCGAGCACAAATTGCCCATTCTCATTTATATAGAGAATCTCAGCACTGCAGCATCCTTCAAGAAGAGTCTTAAAGAGGGGATGGACATGGAATATTTTAAGTATGAAACAGATCAGTTGTCCTATCAGCTTTATAAAAATATATTTATGAAGACATTGATCTCTTGACAGCAAAGGCACATATCTACTTACTGGTCAGCTCAGAAAATAATGAGTTTACTAACTCCACTGTAGGGATTGTAGAGGCTCAAATCTTACAACACCAGTGCATATATTTGCAAGCATTAGGTGGTTTGAGCACAAAGATAGGGACTCAAATATTAGACAATCTGAAAGCCTTAAACCTGGCCTTTTTCTATGAAACTTTGTGGCTTGAGAATTACATTCATACCAAAGCTCTGAAATTACAGAAAGCTCAGCCTTTATTTTATTCAGGTAAGGCATCCTGTAACAGTTCTGTCTACCAAAAGATAGAGTTTGATTGACTGTTTTCCATAAATATTTACACACACAGTGCAAAGTATCACTACTATGTATTTTCACAACGAACATACAAAAACTTCCCAGTAAACTTTTACAAAAGTTATTGCCAAGATGCTTCAGATAATCAGCAGTTCATTTAACTATTTTCAAGATGTACTAGCAAAGGCCTTGCTGTTTATCCGTCTTGCAATAAGAACACACAAAAGGATCAGGGTTCACTCACTACATACAAGTTTTTCTATCTGGCAACTTAAGGTAGAAAAACAAAAATAAAACCCCATCTTTCATTAAACGCTTACAAGATTGTTTACTCTAAAGTCTTTGTTCTCAAAGAAAAGTTGACTCCCCCCCAAATCCCTCTTTAAAATAAGGATTTATTGACACTTTTCATATCTCTCCCACCAAAGTTTCTAGCTTAAGGTACAACATTCAGACAGAACTGGTTCCAAATCACTGTTCTGCCTTTGAAGAGTGTTTGCAAATACACAATTAAAATCAGAGGTTTCTAAATTTGTGCTAACATTCAACACAGCATCAAGTTTAAAGAGTACCTTGAGCATGCGAAATCCAACAATGCACTTCGGTTTGATCAACACTCGGTGAATCATGGAATAACCATTACAATTTTTCATTTCCTGTATTCTCTGTTGATTGTATTTTGTTAAAGATAGTATAAGCTGCAGTGCTAGAGCTTGAGTGTCTTCACAGCTGCTGATCTCTACAACCTGAAGTTTAATTAAAGAGTTTATATGAGAAATATTTAGACAAAATCTAAAAAAGTGCTTAAGTGATAACTTGTGGATTAAGCTACTGTAAGATTTTTCAGATCACATACATAGGCAACAAATGAAAGTAATGGCAGTACATTCAGATTTTTATACCTGAAGTACTGACCCACACTGTTATAAATGATTATCTGTAAGAAAATAAGGAGTCATTACAAGAATTCCTTTGTAAGAAAAAGATTAGTCTAAATAAAATTTAAGTAGGAGATGCCAATTCTTGTTATACAGTGAAGTCACAAAGAGGTTTCTTAAATCTTTAAGGCAAGTTTGAACTTAAGTTCCTGGAGATGGAGTACTTCCATACAGATTCATCCAAACAATGATGTTTTATTTGGTCCATGAAAACAATTTGATAAATGAAGACAAAGGACCATTCTTCCCTCTTCTATTCTTACAATTCTTCAAACCCAAGAAGGAGCAAATATGTATATATACACTTTTTAACAGGAAACTCAGGACAAAAATATCACATCTGTCGAATTCCGATTCCTACATGAGCTCTTGCTGTGTTGTGTATCAGCACAATTTCTTAGACAGGATAAACCTTTGAACATGGCACAACAGCCTCCTCTCAGAAAAGCTCTCACTGCTAGATAAAGCTCAAGCTCTGCACACTCTGCAATTTTACATGTATTCATATTTGCATTTTGAATATCCTGTACTTAAAGTGCTATTAGGACCAGTTTACAATTCTCCTAAAAATTTATTTTGACATTCAGAAGCCCCAGTGCACCTGTTACACGCTATCTGTATTACAAAAAGCACTACACAGTTCAACAATAACTGCTAGGACCCCTTATGGTACACTCTTCTACCACAGATCCCTTTCATGAATTTACTTTAAAAAAGAATCACATACAGACTTCTGAGTAAGATGCATTTGGCAGTCACAATACCAGACTTGCTGCCTGAGATAAAAAGACTATTTTATACAAGAAACTACACATGCACTCTTTATCTTCCATCTCTCTTACCCTAGCAAAGAGGAAAACAAATGCACCAGTTCCTCCAATTTCATGTAGTATACCCTGAAGATTTTTATATTCAACAGGCTGAAGTGCTTTCAGGTGATGAGAATCCAGTACATTGCTCTGAACTTCTTTTGAACTGAAGGGCCTCTGAGAAGGTACAGTCTTCACTTGACCTTTCAATCTAATAACAGGTTCGTATATGGTGTAGTGACTGGGGCAGCACGTGGCATAAACAACAGCAAGGCTTTCCTGAAACAAGAGAAATTTATCAGCCAGAAATTTAAGACATTTGAATTGATAATAAAAAAAAAAACAAAAGCACACAAAAAAGTCACCTAACAAGTAGTAGCAACTTCAGTAGTTCTTTTCTGCTTTATCATTAGCATGCTCTAAGCTCTGCATGATGCATGAGTACTATAATGCAACAGATTTTTGCACATCTGTGCAATTGCATTTTATCAACTTCTATCCAAAGACCCTCCTCTTATCACTGAGGGTAACAACTATTTTCCATAAGAACAGTTACTAATAAGATTAAAAGAAAATAAATACACATATGTATTAAGCATTTTTTCCCCTTTCTAAAACTGGAAGAACAAGGAAGTCCAAAATAGAAAGTATAGAAAAATCTCCAATTCTTATACTTGTTAATCTGTTCTTCAGTCAGCTTTACTATAAGAAAAAGGATCTCAGTAGAAGGTATACATGTAAGGCTAAAGAAGTTTCTTTCACGGATGAAAAAACTTAGACCAAAACCAACACTATAAAAAGTAGCCAACTAATTCTCAGAGAAAACATTAAATGGACCGTATCTGGGAGGCCAGTGTACTAATTACAACCAAGAAATTTGCTTGCTGTGCACAAGTTGAGACAAATTTTTTACCTGAACATATATAGCTCTACTCTGGCTACTTGGATCTGTCACCAGTTAGTACTGACGTTTACAAGGATTAGGTCCTCTACTTACAGTTAGAAAACTGCTATATAACAAGATCAGAGAATTCCCTCTAGTGGGAACAATTCATACAGCAGGTGTTACCTGCATGAAGATAAGACTCCAAATCCTCTAAAAAAGCTCCACTGACAAAAAATATTCCTTCTTTTTCTAATATAACTAATATTTACATCTGCTTTTGGCACAGGTGTATCAGCCAAGAAAGATGAAAGAAGCTACAATCTGCCAGATGAAAAATAACTGCTCAGCAAAGGCTTTCAGCTCACAAAAACACTGAAAAACTGGGATGAAGTCAGTTAAATCCTCCTACCTCCCCAGTTTTCATACAAGAAGTTCAACTAAGCTAAGCTACTCTTTGTCATCTTTATAATAAGAGGGAGGAGAGCTGCCCATTCATTCTAGCACAGATATTCAATTCCAGAGGTGCCTGCTTCTCAGATGGAAGAAATACACAGTGTTAGAGACTCTGGAACACATATGTAAGAGTTGTCAGAATCCAACCCAAATCAACACAAACTCCACACAAGGTGTCTACTTCGAATCCCACTGAAATAAATGGGAAGAACTCTGCAGTGATTTTAATGAGAATCAGATCTGCTCTAGTCTGCATTGAGAAAGTGAAACATTGAGAGACAGCAGGAAATGCTTTCTCAGTTTCATCAGTTCTAAGAAACCAGAAACCACTGTTAAGCAGAAACTTACAATCAAAGGTCCAACATCCACTTCCTTCTTCGCCATGAAGAGCTCCTTAATTTGTTCACACTGTAGAATATCTTTACTTATGTACTTAGAGCATTCAGTCAATGTTTTGCCATATTTACAAGGCATTACAGATGTGAAGTCTGGTCCACATGTGTATAAGTAAAATGCTTCCTCTGGTCCAATCTTTGCACCTAAAATCCAGAAATGACATTAGTTTCTGATTACACAATAAAGCAAAATTTATATATTGACTATTAGACTTCACAAGGAAAATTACCAGCTGGTTTTTACAGCACCTGCTGTAACCTGAAGCAACCAGTGAAGTCCAGCACTAACTACTACAGATGTGTGACTTCTGCCAAATATCACAGGCCACTGCTAAAGGAAACTGAAACCATATCAGGAAAGTAATGTGTATGAGCTGAATACAACATATCTGAATATTCAATTACAGTGCTTTTAAACTGAAAAAAAATCATCTCTCCAAGCCTCTTCAACTTTCACAGCATATCAAGATTACAGGTAGTACAAACATGCTATTCAACTTTCCATGATATTGTGGAGTGATTCAGAAGGATCCGTCAACAATAAATAGCTCACTGCAACTAACAAGAGGAGAAAAAATAACACTGTAAAAGGAAATCAAATGAATCTCCCATCCCCTTTTCAGACAGCTTATCTTAGGTAACCTGTTTATGAGAGTGCATCTTCAAACAAAGCATCTCTATCAGTTGCTTAAGATCACAGAATGACACAAGTCTATGATATCTGAGTACAAGACAGCTGGATTAGAGTATCTCTCTGGAAACATTAATTGTAGTGGCTGTAGTAAAATCAGACCATACACATTCACCATGTAGAGCTGATACTTAGAACAAATGTCTCACCTACTGCCTGGACAAACATGAAGTGTCCATACACACAGCAGACCCATAAACCCCAGCAGCGTAGGCCACTGCACATGAGAAAACACCAAAATTATGACCACCAATATCTCAGCCTTTGGGGCTAAACAAATATTTGGATGTCCTAGACAAAAGATTCTGAAGAGGGAGAGGAATTATAAACCTAAGAAAACTCAGAAGTAACCTCAGTAGTTTCAGCAATTAGCACACATAACAAGGAACATTCAGTAGTTTAAATTTTGGTCACTTTTTAATATTCTTTGTGTAATTTGAAATTAGTAGTTCAGAGGCAGGTAAATGAACCCCATTTTCTAGAAGACAAAGACTGAGTGCTTTAAGAAAAAGTAGAGCGAATGCTGCCATCTCCATGTCCTACACAAAGATATTATTTAAAGAAATATAAACAAATGGCTGAAGTAACTGGAATTGCCAGCTACAGCACAGAAAAGGCAAGACAACAGTGGCAAAAGGACACATTAGGAACTACCCAATACAGAAATGTTTACTTCTTCTCTATCACACTAGTAAAGAATGTACTGTTTTGACTGTAATCAGTTGGCATGTACAAAAAAATAATCAAGTTACTCCTTTGAACAGGATGGGGGAAAGAAAGAAGAAATGAAGACTTATGCAGGAAAAAAAAAAAGCAAAGTACCATTGAAGAGAAGTAGATTCCCAAGATTCCATCTGCCTGACAATCGAAGCAATTCTTCCTGAGATGATGTACAGTGGCCAATCATACAAAATGTTTTATTACTGTCAGATGACAAGCTTGATTTCCTTGGTAGAGCATAATCTAAGTTGATTTCACATTTCCTAAAAATACAAAGAAGTATGAATAACAGTAAGCGATCAGATTTGCCACCTCAAATATTCAGCTTAGACTTAAAATAGTTTTAATATTTAGCAGATGAAAAGCCATGTTGTTATTGACACTAAATTACTAAAGCCATCTTCAACTTCTAGGTACCTTCAAAAACTCATTTTCATAGTGGTGTATATATTTAAATACTACACAAGAGGAAAAAGGAATGAAGGTGACAGCCATGTTTGCCTTAAAATCAAAATTTCCTAAACTGAAAAATTCTTCCTCATTCCCTATGACTTCGATGAAAAATAATCTGCATATACACTACACAAGCAATTGAGTGACCATCTCTTCCTCTAAAACATCGCTATTTTTCAAGAATTTTTATTGGTCTTAGAAAAAACACAGCCAAAAATGGAAGTGTCTGATCACATTAATGAACCAAAGTGAGGATTGGGGTTTGCATATGCTGGAAATTACACCAAGTATTTCCTTTTCCAAAGGAACTCTGTCAGAACTGATGTGCAGTACAGCCATGGGCAATAAGCCTGATGCTTTGAGAAAATGCCCAATGAACCTTACAATCAATTACAAAGGCAGACTAATTGGACTGTAAAGGTCATCAGAAGCTTCTCTGGAAGAATCTAATGCTTAGAAAATAGGTAACTCTATATGCAGAGTGGCTTCATTAACTGCATAACATGGTAGTATTTTTTGTTTTCCCCACATCTCCATATTTGGACTGCACAGTCTACCAGAACAAAAACTGAACAGGAAGAGGGAGAAAATTAATATTAATTTCTTTAAAAAACAATTCCACATAAGTTTTCACAATTTCAATTCCTGATTAATCATACATAGAAAAGTAAAATGCAGTAACTTTAACAACAGCTTTAAGAACAACATTCCTGCAATTGCTTATTCATGGATCAAACTGTAAAGGAATTACAAGAAAGAACTCATGATGCATCTGATTACTTTAAAATGGAATTTTTAACTACTTATTTTGTATCTGAAATACAAAAGGCAGCTTCACCATCTGGACTTCAAGAAAAAAGTTATCTGATAATTTAATCAATCCCTCCTCTTCTAACCAAGGTGTATTTCACACAGGCCAAGGGCCACTCAACCTAGCATTAGGGACCTCAGGTTTTCATTGGCAGTAGCATTTCCTAATGCCAATTCAGACCTTGCCTGAGGTACATGTTGCATTTCTCCCCTATTTCTCTTGACAAAGACAAGTGACTATATTCTCTTCATCTCCTCTTTATTTCTTTCAATCATATTTCTAGCACTTTAACTACACATCCTTAACTCAGATTCTTAACCAGCAAGATCGAACCCACTGCTAATCTCTTGTCATAGCTGGTTTTGGACCTTACTCTCACAGCTTTGTAGTATTTATCTTTTTCATTTATCCATGTCTGATGAAGAACAGAGATGTCAGCATCAGCTTATGGTTTGGACTAAAGATCCTGAAAGTAATCAAAGCAACTCCGGAGCAGAGGCAAATCCAGGGCAAAATTTCCCTTTTCCATCCCCCCAAATTGACTTCACAAACAGAACTTCAGTCTGTATTACAGTAGTGTAGACATTTTCTCGTTAGAAAACATCTTTTTAAGAAGTTTAACTAAAGTGTAGTTTACCTCTGACCAGAAACCCACAGGGACAGCTCTCCATGGATGTTTTTCTTGCTTTCTTGCTTCTGCTTATACTGTATTGCCAAGTGTTGCCACCTGCCCACAAGGAAAATATTCTCTGGAGATTCAGCCTGTGCCAGCAGGCCAGCTTTCATCTCATCATTTGGATCCATGCACATACTATGAAAACAGAAAAGTGGTTTTTTTTAAACTTGCTTCTCAGCCCCATATCTTAATTTTATCAGTTACTTTCAGGTGACATTTTTCTTTAAAAAAAATCAGTAATCTATTCAGAATGCTCAACATAATCTAGGCAAACATGTTTTCAACTGAGGTATTTAACTTGCATAAATATTGATACATACACGTAGATTCAAGAGGATGTCTGTATTTCACAAGGATCAAAGTAACTGATTCTTTTATAATAATTTGAACTTCATAAAATAAAGTGCTCTAAAAAATTTAAAGGATCCATTTCTTATAGGAAATAAAAATGCTAAAGTGTTTCAAAACATTAAGATAAGGATTGCCATGATAAGTACTAAGAATTTTCACATCTGAAGTGTAAAAACGTAACTACAAAAGCTTTTTGCCTGTGTCCATATATTTATTGTGTCACTTCATTAACATCTAAATTGCACAGTGTTTATGGCTGATCTTGTCTTTCACTTCAGCCAACTATTTATATTTGCCTACATGAAACACACGAGACTGAGGATGTAATGATCCTGTAGATCCGTATACAACAAACCTAACTTGATGCTGGCAGCATGCAAAATGGCTCTAATATACACATCAGTTTTTTTATTCCACAGCAGCATTTTCTGCAAGCTGTTAGTAGAAATTAGGATAGGACAATACGTATGCTCACAAGACAGTTTTTGGACTAATGTACCATACCGAAATATGAAAGCTCCAGTGTTCATGTCTGCCCAGATCTGCATCATCAATGCTTTGGAACCCAATGAAATTATATGAATACAGCCATCTTCAACAAGTTTGTCTCCCAGGCTTAGGTATTCCATTCCTACAGACTTGGTTTCTTCTAGAAATACAAGCACGTTTATAAGAACAACTACTACATCAATGCCTTTTTTTTTTTTTTTTTTTTAATTAAATGAGCTGGAATGTACAATCCTCTTCAGAAACCTAGGTCTTTTGTGTATTGTAACAGACATTAGTTAAGCACTTTATTCTTGTTTGTAATTAAGTAAACACACTAAGCATGCATATTTCATCTAATTCAATGATATTGTTAATATGTCATATTATATTCACATGTAGAATTGCAAGTCTCATTGTACACCTGAAGTCTAGATTTATTTATTTATTTTACAAATCATGCTGCCCTTTAACCCTTTAAGCAAGATTTTACATCCAATATTTTCTGCTTTAGGTTATGAAGCAAAAACATAGTCCTTCTTACAAAAGCAGCTCAAAAACTGCTAAGACTCAGTCCCCTCTCTTTTTTTTTTTTTTAAGTTGTAAAATAGAGGTATTCCAAGTGCTGCAACTGGGAGGCATTTTAAGTACCTCAAACATTTTGGGACCTGGCAACACGCTACAACAGTATAAACAGGTAAATGTTTTTACAGCTATTGATATCTGTGATAGCACACACAAGGAAAGTTGAAGGATTTATATAAAGTTAGCCTCAGGCTCATGATCAATGAGAAGCAACTTTCCAGGTAAGAATTCCAATAATTAAATCTTAAATCAAGAAGTTTTAGTAGCTCTATATTTAAAAGAAAATACACAAAAGCCACTTGCTTCAACAATACATATGAGATCAGTTAAGTCTAACAGTAGTAATTTCCTATGACCTTTCAGCTGCAGCACTGAATATTCTCTTCAACACAACATGAAGCAGTACAAAGACATTTTACTGAAGTTAAAAATTCAGTGAGAACACTAAATTCCTAAAGGAACCAGGCACAAACCTGGTTTATGAACAAACTGGAAACGTTTTATCTTTAAGTATAACTCACAGTACTCAAAGAAGGCGAAGAACAATCAGAAAGGCTTATCATTCCTGTTCAACATTCATTAAAAAGTGCAACCTTTTTGTATAAGAGACAGCAATGTGTAGTAATTGTAACCAGAATTCTTCAGTGCTACTTATAATAGGAACAAGAGCTATATTCTCACCTGTGCTATCAAAGCTGTTCTCTCTTACAGAGAAAAGTCTTCTCTTGACTTTCTTCCCCTTCTCTGTTGAGTTTTCCATTTCATGAACACACTCCAGATGAAACCACAAGGAAACACTGAAACCATCAGACATATGTGGCCAACAGTTCTGTCCAACTAAAGGCAAGTGAATTGGGGCCACGTGCCAAGAAGAAAGCAGTTGATGACTCAAGTTTTCACCATCTGCCTCTTTCTTACTCTGTGAAAATTTTGCTTTTTTTAATAGTCCGGCAGTTTTGCTGTTGGAAGTGCCGGTGGATTTTTGTGAAGAACTACTCAAATTTGTGCCATGTAGCAAAGGGAAGGCAAGGTACTGTAATGGGTTCATGTCCATATTAGTTTCTATAATCTTCAATACACCCTTAAGCAGTATCTCCTAGAAGAAATAAACAAGCAAGAATCAAACTGCTCAACACCATGTAGCCAGACATCATTTCTAAATTTCATAACTAAACAGAACCCCACTCTTCATTTAAATTCAGGTTCATATTTTCACTACGTAGGTGGGCTTTCACATCTAAACTGAGACATTTACAACAGCCTTAAGGTACTATTTCAACAAGCTAAGTTGAAGTACAACAGTTTTGGGGGATTTAGTGACAGCAGAGATCTTTAAGTTACTACATTTAGGAATTAGACAAATCACAGTAGATGGTTACTTGGCAGTCTCAGCTCAGATTTGTTATGTGCTAGCAGATTCATTTACACCTCAACAAAAGGCTGCATCTTTTACTTCACTTTGAGGAAGACTAAGAACACAAATACAGACCATCATCTTGTTACAGCATAATTATTAAGAGAACTATCTGAGTCCTTCGGCAAAAATGTGTCCAGTTACATAACCAATTACTGCAAGCAACCTTTGAAAAACTGATTTACATACTGTAATTCGGTATTATTACATGCTTTGCAGTAACTTTTAATTTCCTTCACCTCATTTTGTCCTACAGACTCCCACACAAACTGATACATGCTTTCACAGTGTTTCCCACACAAGCAGTAGATTCCAGTGTTAAACAAGCCAACCCATGACAGTTTTAAAAGCAATTCCTGCAGATAAAGCAGCACCCATTGATGAAAAGAAAATGCTTTACAACTAAGGAAACTACTTCAAGTTTAACAGTATACAATATTGTCATTGATAACCATTATGCCAATTTACTCAAGACAAATCTTGCTTTCTTGTGCTGAAGAGTTCCCAGAATACAGCTTCAAGAACACAGTTTTCTAAATCCTTTTCTCCTTTTGCTATCTCACTTTCAAAACATGAAAGGGAGTTGTTTCAGCAACTGAGTGACGTTATTATATCCTTATTTCCAAAAATACTTGAGCACAAAGAGATTCTCTTCATGCTTCTGAATTGTATTATTTGTTACTGAAGACATACCGTACAAGGAGTCTTCTCCAAAAATATCCGTAGGAGAAGAGTTAGTTCTTCTGAACATGTCTGTGAGCTCATCAAAGAAACGAGCAGGTCTACCAGCACCATCTGACATGCTAAAAATAAGAGAATATTCTTCAGGAGAATGTGTGAAAATCTTTAAAAAATTCTATTTGATAATGTTAGGAAAAAGAATTAATGTGGAATTTAGAGTTTCATGAAAATATTTAAAATTCAGGAAGTTGCAATGATTACAAAATGAATTACGAGATTCTTCTGCTTTCTGATAGTATTAAGTATTACCATTCACAATTCACTTGAACAAATCAAGATTGCTACAACAAGTTTGGCTTCCAGGTTTGTAAAACAGTCTGAAGGTTTGGGAACCTTTGCATCTAGGTTGCAAATAATCCCCCCAAAAAGCCATGGTTTAAAGTCCTGGGATGGTTTACAAGGTTGTGTGAGCTACCTTAGGGCAAATATATAATTCCACATTTTTTGATTAGCTAGGTATTTTCTGAGTAGAAATAAAACTGAGTAGAAAGTCAAGATATCACTCAGTCCTCTGTTACAAAGAATCTGAAACAACTTATGTTGTTATACTAAATCAAACTGCATCACAACTACTATTTTTTCTGAATAATGCTTGTTAACATTGTCATCTGAGGTTTCTGATTTCCATTATGTTTTTCAGATCTGTTAGCATGTGTTTAAATAATGTAATCTAGACTGCCTCAGAAATAGCCCTTTAAAAACAGGGTTATTTACATGTTAGAGATCTGTGAGAAGCTAGAGACACAGGTGCATTGATTCATGCCTGCCAATTAATTCCCTTGGTAAATTTTGTGTTTGCATTATGGGCTAAAAAATTGAGTGTGTACAAGTTAAATTATAAAAAATGTTCTTTGAATTAAACTTCGAACTCACCATGAAAACTAGACTCTGTTTGTGTCAGTATATTCATAAATCCTCCCAAAATATGTTTAACAGCTCCCTGTTAAAAAAAATACAGGGAAACAATCAGGAGGACACACCAGCCCAAAGAACAACTTATATCAAACAATTCACATCTACTGTTGATTTAAGTGAAAATAATTACAGTTATAAAAAAACTCCCATGATTTGATGTTTGCTAATGAGCATGTTTTCATGTTCTGTACAGTTCAACTGCATCATGAGAAAGGCTTTGAAATCCAAATGATTAAAGAAATAATCCCTTGCCACTATGCATTCAGCAACTAACAACTGCTGCCTTGTCTTCTCTCCCAAAATAGAATTACATAATTCAACAGGCTATGATAAAACACATCATTGGTATATAATAATGGAATACAGAGAGTTTAACATTTCCCCAAATTTTAGGACCAAGTTTTTAAAATTAACTAAGGAGTCCAAGTAGCTTCCATAAGAGCAACATCCTTCACAAATATCCTCTTAGATAAATAAAATTCAAAAATCTAATACATTCAAAGTTTCTAAGCTCGTTAGTTCAGTAGATTAATAAGCTTGCTCTAAAACACACTTAAAATAAAAATCTTTGAATCCTAAGTCATTTTATGTGCTAAAGTTCACAAAAATAAAATACATGTGTGCAAGAAATTTTAAGTAAGTAATTCACACAAAGAATTGGAATACTAAATAAGACATTTTCCCACTTCAGCCTTCCCTGCCTTTGGTTTAAGCTGTCAAGCACTAGTAACATTGCTTCTTAGTCAGATGACTCTATATAAAAACACTTTAAAAGCTCAAGTGACTTTACCATATTTTCCTCTTCTGGAGAAGTTTACTAAATTTAGTTACTTAAAGGCAAAAAAAAAAACCCCCAACAAACTAGCTCTTAGAAATCCCAAGTGACCCCCGTGTGCTTAACTGATTTGTAATATAAAACTTAAGAGGATTGAATGAAATGTTTTGCAGGTGCAGCATTGAAAGTTTCAAAAAAGCATGTTAATACATACATGAATATGTACATGCATATTCTAAATATTAGAACACCTGATGGTTTCTAGATCTGCACTGACAGCTTTTGTGGTTCAATAGTTTTGATGAAATAAAACAACTGTAAGTCAACTGCCTTTTAATACATTAATTTTCTCATAACTTTTTAATTCAATGCAGTTTTACCAACAATACCAATGCTTTACATTATTTCAGGTCTTACCAAACACCATAATGAGTACTTCAGAGTTCAGGCAATTTTTTTTTTTAATACTATTACATTACTGAAGAGAATGAGCAACTGTTGAAGTGATGCATTGGCTCAGCAACATTTTTACCTGTTCTATAAGTAAAGTGGCATTTCTCTCCTTGTGGTTGATGATTTTCAGGCAGCTCTGGAATACATGAGCAAGCACATCTAAACTTGCATTACCAGCTGACAGCAAATTTAATTCTAACATGCAGATTTCAGGATATATTAATTCTCCTTGATTGATGTTTTCAGTTAGGTCACTAAGATAACCTGAAGGACTGGTACATTCTGGTTCTGTCTTCGTGTCTGCTCCTGTAATAGAACATTTGTCTTACTCAAACGTACTCAGATGAATACAGTTTGCATTACTCAAGTAGCATATCCAAGGTCATAGTTTCTCCAATCTTCTCAAACATACAAAAATAGTCACTAGTGTATCAGCAGTTTTCAGAAGCTCGTAACACCTATTCTGCTTCACGTTCCCATATTTTCCTGCCAACACAAGGGCAGAGATGCAGTTTCCCCCATTACATGTTCTTGAACTACATGCTGTTACTTCCTGGGAACTGGACACACGGCAATGATAAATATGCAATTCAAATATGAATCTCTGTAACAGAACTTCATCTTCTATACAGAACTCTGACCCTGCCAAGGAACAATGTAAATGATCTTTACCTTAAAAGGCAGGGGGAAGCAGTCGTTTAGTCATTTAACTCACAAAATGCTCGACAGCACACGTAATGTCTTCATTAAAAAGAAAACCCAAGCATTTAAGTTCTACCTCTTACACACCCACCTCTTCAGGACATGTCATTTAAAACCAAAATGATGTGATAGAGACAGACATGCTACCTGCAAGTGTTTCATGGAAATAGCTTCAGGTTGAATTTATAATTCAGAAACTTCTAAAACATGCATTTGTATATAATTCTGATTCTCTACTGAAAGTCTAGTCATACAGATAAACAGCAGTAGTGGAATGTAAGTTCACAGCACAAAGGCAAAAATTAAAACAAATCTATGTTCAAAATCACACCAAAAGAGTAAAACACATACATATCAGTTGTTGAATATCAATAGATATAACCAGACTATACAACTTCAACCATTTTTTTTTTAGTACTACATAAAATTTTGAGCATTGACTTACAGACAAGCTACTGATAAGTATCTCTGGAGATAATTGCTTTAGATCACAATAATAAATGTTGAAAGACAATCCAACATAATTTCAGAGCAAGAATCACGTAAACTAGCATAACCAATACAGAACAGTTCCTGCAACACTCAGTATTAGAATAGTCAGCTTCACTTCTGGTGGAATCCAATTACACTTCCAGTGAAAAATCTAACCTAACTGCATCTGTAAAAAGTCTCTGATCATCCTGTTTTTGTACATCTTAAAAAGCCAACCAAGCTTGGCCATGTCAAAGACTGCTTTGCATATGCAGAAGTTCACATTTACCTCCATCCTTCGTTTCACTGTCAGGATTACTTTCACTGTCTGCTTCATATCCTTCTTCTTCAGCAAAAAGTTTAAGACTACAGCACTGTGACTCATCAGCTTCCTCAGGTATATCTCCAGGCTGAGACATTGACTCCTTTTCAGTGTAATGGGTCTGTAAAATGCAAATTCACCACCTCGGTTCAGAAAAACAAATAGTTTTGAACCTTTTTCCATGCCCACCGGGGAAAGAAACTCATCACATACTTCCAGGAAAGTCAAGACTCCTTTTAAGGATGTTGCACTTCTACAAAGAAAATTGACTCTGAAAAGATGGATTTCTGTTACTAACTACCCAAATACAGTTTTGGGAAACAGGTGATCAACACATTAAAAAAAAATTTTCTCCAAAAATTACCACTGTAATCATTTTGACATCTGCTCTTATGTCAAGACATCCGCAGTCTCTAAGGTCTGTGAATATCCACTTTGAGTTCTTCCACTACCTACAGTAAAACAGAAGAGCAAGAACTTCCAACTTCAGGTATTCCCACAAAGCAAAATAGGGCTTGCTCTTTTTTGGAGTGACTTATTTCAGAGCAGCAAAATGGGGAGCATATGAATATGCATCATTCACCTTGACACTTGCATATGAGAATCAGAATTCATTTTCAACAGCTGTAAGAATCCAACAGATTTAAACCTTATTTTAAAAAATGGATCTGAACAAAACCTTGATCCAGCAAACCTCGCAGAAATAGATTTGTTTAGTCAGCATTTCATACCTTCTCTATTTTCTCTTCAGAATGATCCAGGTCAGTAGAAAAAGTGCCCAATGCAACACGAAGCAGTGAATCAAACAGAGGCTTCGCCAAGTCAGTTTCTAGCAGTTTTGACTGAGCAAGTTGTTCTCGTATTTGTAGTAAGATATCATCCACACAAATATTCTAGAATTTGAAAGATAAACATTTTGATTCATTATTGTTTTGGCTAAAATAGACCAGTACTTCAATTTAACAACTCTCTCTTCCACCTACACTAATCAGTCTTCCCAGCTAGAACTGTCAGATTTCACTGAGTCTCTTACAACAAAGACTTACAGTTTGCCATGACAAACACTTTGTGGGTTATACAGTCTGCACACTGAAAAATCTAAGCAACTTACTGTTTCTGTAAAAGTACATGCAAAGGCACTCTTTCAAAAAAAAAACACCACAAACAACAAACTTGCTTCTGAAACTGGAAGTAGAGTGCATTCAGACCACACCATGTTACTCAAGAGGTTAAAAGGATAGAGAGTGATAAGTCCAACTTCATAAAAATAGCAAGTGGCTCTAAATCACAGTTCTCATACATACTATGACAGCAGAAGGAGATAAGTAAGGTGCTAAAAAAACCTCAAAATGATAATTAAAATAATTAAACCATAGTGAAGGATTCTTCCATGAATCAATAACTTTTGATGGAATGCTGAATTAGTTCACCTCTACAGCTTAGATAATAGTTTTTTTCAGGTGCTCCTTAAATATCACTGTCATTTAACACCCCTCTCTCCTAAAGCACCATCCTCTACTCATCATTTTTACAGTGTTTTGCTTAACATGCAAGTCACTGTGTACTAGTGTCTTGTCTACATTCTTAGACTCCAGCTCTGTCTCACATTCTCCAATGAGCACCCTTGCAGAAGTGTCTACCACCGTTCAACACTCATCAGTTCAAACATAGAGCACATGACTGGACAACAGGAAAAGAAAGGTACTCAACTAGAAAAAAAAGCAGTCATGACCAGCCTGAAATAAGTAGTAGTCTGCATCCACCACTACATTTGTGGGCAGAGGAAAACATGCCATCCCACAAGTCAGGACTATTTTAGGCCAAAGAGAAAAAAAATAAGCTTTATCTGTTAGGATCATAGTCCTAGCACAGTTCTTGGGCTGAAGATACATTAACCCAAGATGCATTAAAACAGAAAAGAGCATATGATGTTTTTGCCTTATCCATATCAACCATGCTAGCTCAAATGGTAACAGAGAGATGAATAAATTGGAAACAATTAAGAAACCAAACAGGGTAAACATGTCATTCAAGCTGGATTACTCTGCCATTCCACAAGGCTCCTCCAGCCACTGAGAAACAGAGAATTGGCACAAACAGGGATCCAGTCCAAAAGAGATGGAAGAAACATGATATTATGTTAGAGGGCAAACAAGGATCCTAACCAGGAGTGCCCCTGAGCTGACACGTAGAAAGTTGCCTCCTCAGAAAAAGCAACTGCAGTCTGTCCATCTGCCTACTCCTATTCCTTCATGCCTGCTGACCACTACCATCATCATCTAGATATATTGCTTTCTGTCATGGTTAAGGCATACAGTTAAATATGCACCATAACAACAAACTTTCTTTAAACTCCAAAAAAACAACAAAACCCCTTCAGATGGATTACTGTTAAAATAATGTTGTACAAAACAGATACAAGTAAGGTAAGCCACGGGAAGTTGTGCATTACCTGATGAAACATCTCTACTTCCATCTTCTGCTGTGTGGTGCTTGCACTGTGCAGACATATCATCAGCAAAGCTTCTAGAAGTCTGATGCCCTGAAGTGCCCATTCAGTTTCTTCTCCTACAGAAGATTTTCTCTCTTCCAGATTTCCAACTGAAGCATGTTCCCTACTTGCAGAGCTGTCACAGGACACACATTCAGACACCAGCTGTTCTGCAACAGCAAGACTATCAGAACTACTGAGCTCTGATTGTGTCACTTCCCTGCTTTCAGGGAAATGAACAGAGGCATCTTTGCTGAGATGTTCAGCACGAGCACTCCCATGTGAACTTCTGCTTTCACTCAGTGTTCTCTCCCTTTTTTCTTGTTCTTTCTCCTTATTTTCCACAAGCTTCTGAATTATGAGGATTAGCAGTCTATGGCATGCTTCAAAACCTCCAAGCCTATGGAACTGTCTCTGGAAAACCGAACTATACAAATAGATACAACGACACATGGACCAAATATCAGCAGCTCTGTGAATATGTTCCAGGGAGGGCAAAGTAAGGCTTTCCAATGACAGACATGGTAATTTATGGCCTAATGGCTCACTAGCTGTGCTATCATATCCTGATGTATCTTCAGAGTCATTAGCTGAATCCAGATCACCATCTGCTTCTTTACTTACACATAAAAATGCAACACAGAGAAACAGGTTTATTGTGTTAACATGAATGTCTTGACTCTCAAACTTTTTCTTTTTTGGGTAAGCCTCTTTAAGGCCTGCATAAAACTTGCTCAGGCTTTGAGGAATTTCTGAAGCAGAATGCTGGCTACAAAGAGAAGCAGGCAAATCAGATGCAGACTCCTTGTGCTCATCGTTGAAGTCTTCTAGCTCTGGCACTGCTTGATCTTTCTGCTGCTCACCAAGGCAGAGTATCAAAGTCTCTAACACTTTCAAAGAGTAGCTTCTTAAAGTATCTAAGTAGTTTAACTCAGTCATTTGATTCACTCCATTACAACTCAGAAATAAGTCTCTAATCACCCTGTAAGAGAAAGCATAACAGTTTCCTTACAAATCAACAATGAATTCATTATCTCATAAGATTTCATGAGACATTCGTTAAGATGTGACATTTAAAAATAATCCTGTTCCACATACTTGAGTGACACCAAGACCAAATCACATTTACGTGAAATAAACATATCATGAAGTGCAAGCATTGCACTTCAGGTATGCAAGGTGGGCTAGAGGGGGGCTCATCTGCAATACTTCAGAATCTCTAAGCATCATCCATCCAGTAGAGGAAAATTTAACTTTTCGTTAAGCTACAATGTAGGGACATACAACCTTATGTAGAGTTGACATTGATTAATCACTAATACAGACCACAACAATGTATATGATGTTCAAAGCATTAAAGTGTTCAGCTCTATAACATCTGCTCTGCAACAGCACTTCCAGACAACTTTTTATTAACAGTCAGAGCTAGTCAGACTTCAAGCCTATGACTTCGGAAGGAAATAGACTGCTTCTCAAATAAACATGAAGTCTTAAGGACTTTTACTTGCTATGTCTTTAACAGTTTTAAGAAAAGACTGCTGAACAATATCTGAGACATTTCAAGCACAACTTCATGCAACTGTTATTGCCAAAGGCATTTTTTAATATTGGCATACTTCCAAGGATATTTTCTCCATTCTTTCTATTGCCCATGTATTACATTGAGTTCACACAGAATTTGGGGGTAAAGATCTGTAAGTTTCTTAATGTACTGTTGGCTTACAGACATTCACCTTCCCTAACCTCCAACTTCATTCCCATATTTACTAAATTCACTTCATCAGGACTCTAACAGAAAAGATCAGAATCCTTCATAGAAGAAAGGACTCATTCATATTCTTAATAAAATATATAGAATTTTATTCAGAAGCTATGAGTGCAGAACAAATAGAAAATTTTCTACTTAATATCTTAGAAGCTTGTTTTCTCTTTTTTTTTTTTTTTTTTTTTAATTGATTCACAAGATTCATAGGTACTAGGAGAAGGGAAAGAGACCAGAAAATTTCGGAGAAATTCTTATCAAGAAGTGAAATGAGAATCTGTTCAACACTGACTCACTTTAGCATGAAGAATTAAGAGGCAAAGAACATACCACATTAGACAAAGATTTTGTTCTTACATGCTTGGTTTTGACTTGTTCAAGGCCCCCATAACTTTCTGCAGCTTATGAATCTAACAGAAAGTCTTCTGTTATTAATTTATCTTGACATCCTCTCTGAGATATCCAAGTGCAAAATATAGTCCAAATAATGTTTATATTCTAATAAGTGACAAACAGATAGAACTCTGTACTACATAATTACTGCGTTTTCCATTAATAAGCAGAAAATCTACCAACCTGGATTTAAGCAACGCAGGAAGTGTCTGCAAGTAAATCTGAAGTACTTCGTAAGGCAAACACTGGCTATGGTAACTGCTTGTGTGTTTATCGGTTAGTCCCAGTTGTTGAGCATGGCAAGCTAGCTCAACCCCCTTCTGAAGCACTGGATTATAAATACAATTATATAGTTTCCACTGGACCACTGCATTTCCCTTTTGAATTAAGTGGCAAATATGGCTTGCAACCTGCATGCCGTGTAGTTTGTCGTCTTCAAAAACAACATTCTGATAAGCCTCCAATGCATCCCATCTCAACAACACATCTTCAGATCCACTGCTAGGCAGAATTCCCTGAACTCTGCAGGAGGAACTAGATGCAAGACCAGCATCATTAGAGTTGCCCTGCAAGGCATCTTCCAACTGCAAAAGCTGATCACAGTCAACAGTACATATATTGCACGATGCCTGTATAATTCTTGGAGAAGCCTCCGCTCCACCCAGCTGATCCAGTATAAACTTGTTAAGGATGTTCAGTATATGCTGTTGGAAGTTTTTTAATATTGGTAACTTGGAAGCACGAAGCAATGGGACAATCACAGATTTTGGGTCCATGCAACAGCATATTCCTACGTTATGTATACCTGAGAGAATTTGAACACAAGTACTGCTCAGAGAGACTTGCTGCAACAAGTGCAAACACTGGTGTGCACAAACAGCAATGCAACAGCATCTGTCAGGATAATTAACTTCTCCATCGGTTGTCTCAAAGGGATTTCTGGAACCTTGGTTTTTAAAAGCAGATACAGAGAGCCCAGAGAGATCTCTGTGGTGATGCATGAAGTAAGAGTACTCACATCGTCTATGCCGCTTTCTTGCACACACTGACTGATGGAGCTGCTCTGATTTCACTTTTTTGACAGTACTGATTATTTTCATGACACTGTTTATAAGGGATTTCAGATGCTCTGGAGCTTCCCCAGTTACTCCCTCATTCTTCGTACACAGCCATTCCATCTGAAGTACTGTTACTTCAAACAGCTTAAAACCTTGATGCTGTATGAACTCATGAACAAGATCTATTGCTTGGCTAAAGTAGAATGGATTAGAGGCTGCACTCTGCAGGCAGCGGATCAAGATCTGCAAGATTCCTTCTATAACTTCTGGTAGAAGCAAGGCTCTATGACGGTATCTAGATAATTCAAAGTCATCCTGAACAAGCTGCTGTAGTGTTTTCTTATATTCTGGAGCAAAAGGATGAGGCTGCTTTTCCAAGCAAATTTTGATTTTTAATGCTGCTTTAAGCAAGTCTGTCACATTTCTTCTCAAGTTGTCAGGCATTGCTTCCGTACTGCTTATATCTAAAGACATAAGATACAGAACTGTTCGAAAAAGCATCCTTTGGACCAGAGCCACAGGTTCTTCTGTCCACCCTGCAGAAACCACTTCATTTTCCGTGTTACTACTTAGATTACAGTCTCCAAATCCTGATAAGAACTCAGTTAACGTGGGCACCACAGTAGCTGAAAGAGCAGAACTGTGATTCAAAGTAATATCAAATCCACACACCTTCTCTAGTAGCGACAATAACACATGGCATAAGTCAAAAGGAGAGTTATCCATATTGCTCTCAGCAATTGCTGCAACTGGCTCATTCAAAATCTCTGGATTTAGCTCATGCACTGGAATAATTTGGCTAGAATTTTCTAGACTAGGGACATCAGGATTAGGATTTGGTACCACTTCAGTAGGTAAGAAATCACTTCTACCTACAAGGTAGCTGTCTCTAGCTGGATATGTTAAAAAAGGCTGCAGGAACTGGGAACGTCTGTGTTTCATTGTTACAGTATTCTTGTCATCAGAATTGCCTTCTGAATCTGAAGTGGACAGCTGTGATCTTCTTGCATCTCGCACAGAGTAACGATGGGTGGTTTTGCGCATCCGCCCACTTTTTCGAGATCGAGGATGTAGGTGTGCGGAAGCCTGAAGAGATGAACGAGTGCTTCGATCTAAACCTATTTTTTCCTGAGTGGATTTCACACTTGAATTGCTCTCTTTGGTCAGGCAAACATCTACTGTAAAAGGTATATTGAAACCTGTTGCAAAAGAAAGACAAAGGAACATTAAAAGAACACTCAGAAATAATATGTTAAAAAAACAAAAATAAGAAAAATACTTGAATACTTTTAGCCTCAAGTGTGAGTAGTATCATAACATGCCATGATTTTGCACATTTGACATTTACAACAGAAAAAGTTGGTAACAATTCATGTTTAGGAACCACAGTGGCTTTCCTTTAAATCCTAGACAGCTGAGGTATTACGAATAGATAAACTGTGCTAGCATTTTCTAGAACTTACTTGTAGGCACAACTATTCCATCCTCTTAAAAAATAAGGTCATGAAGGCAGATAAAAGGATTTCTTGAAGGAAAGTTTAGTTTGAAAAAATCTTTTGGCCTGTTATAGCCACTGATTATAATCTACTTTGGTGAAGTTAGACACACCAATATAGTAGTAAAATATCAGTCAGCAGCACTCCAACTCCAGGATCTACTCTATTACTTAGTTGTGGAAGCAGTTCTAGGCAGCAACAAAAACATTACTTATTTTCCACTCATCATTCAGAAGTCATTCACAGTAAGCACTGCCAAACAACTCCAACCCACAACAAGTAAAAGAAAAACTGAACTCTAAAGGGAGTGAGAAAATGTCTTCAGCTTGATGATTCAACATTGCTTTACGCAACTCACATGCTATAGGCATTAAGATATGATTACAGACTATTGGTAGTAATAGAAAAAACCCCTTAAGTACAGAGTAGATCTTTAAGTAAACAGGTCTTAACCATTCCAGCTTTAATTGTTTCAAATCCAAGCAGCAGACATATGTTGTGGACTTCCAGAAATAATCAAGGCCAAGAGTGAGATTGAAATGAGGACCCCTTACGTTCAAGATGTGCAACGCTCCCAGGAAAGCCAAGATGAAACACCTTTCAACTATTCAGCGTAAAGTATGGAATATGAAATCTAAATCTTATTCAATGGGCAAGAAATTTTTTGAAGAATAAAATACAATATTTCCACTTGACTTGCACTGGTCAACTCAGACTGTAAACAATCAAAAAAGCAGATGGAAAAAAAATTTATATGCTTTTGGATGAAGTGCACCGTGACTCTTAATCAGTAGCAGAAAAGTGGCTGTATGCTTTGTGCATAAGAATAACCAACCAAACAATGGCAAGTATTCACCATCCACTATATTCAGTGCTCAGAGAAAGTAGTGATAGTTAACAATAATGCACGACTCAACCCCTAAAAAAAATCCCAAAGCATACAATACAGATATAAACACTAAACTGAAAGAAAAGATACTTTGTGAGCAAGCACAACCACTCTTGCTGTTTCATAGCCATAGCTGCAATACTTGTAGAACAGCTGCTTTGGAGGCAGGAACTATGAATATCATATCAAATAAAGGGTATTTCCTGAACGAGAAGAAAGCAAGCTAGCTAATACAGATGGGTTAAGATATGTTATTTCAGATCAAGGAAAACATGCTCTCCGTGCAAAATCGATTATATCATGTTTACTGCTTCAGTACCACAAGCTAGAAGTTTGTAGTAGGTGCAAACCACATTATACAAAGTGTAAAATCAGCACATCTTAAAACCTGTTTCAACAGCAGCATTTTAAACTAACATTAGAAAAGTCACCAGGCTATCATAGGGCCAAAATATTTAATTCAATCATGCTTCCAGGAGCACAGAGGAAAGATGCAAGCAGGATAGTTGTTTACATAAAGTATTATGAAACTGGCATTCTAAATGCCATGCAACTCCAAACATTAACAAAATCCTTAGATTTACAGGGCTTTAAAATGGCAAAGAACTCTGGGAAAGTTTCAGTTGGGAATCCTTCAGAATTCTTTCAAACATACAAATAACTTGTCTCATCCTGTTTTATCTTCTAATAAAGAAAAACACAGAAGCTCCCCCTCCCCCCAAAAGCTGGGGTCACTTCATAGTTCACTTCTTGCACAATTTATCTTGTATCACCTCTTTAATCTCTTGATTTTGTATCATACCTTCCACTCCTTTGGTTTAAACAACTTTTTCGGCAATTGAATCCTTGTGATTTAGTTTTCCTGTTCACACATCAGTTTTTCCTGATACAGAACATCCAAGATGCACTCTCATTCTGTTCATAGTCATCCAGTATTATTCCATTTTCAAGGCCTACATCTGTGATATTCATTCTACTTTCACATTCTATTACCTCATTAGTTTTTAAGTCTCTCTTCTATCATGTCTTTCATTTCAGAAAATCTTCAATTTTAGAAGGAAAAAAGTCTCACTCCATCTCTGACCAGTCTAAAGCATCCTGTTGTGGATTTTTTTTTTAATTAACCATTAAGTCTTTCCTCCTCCCACCCACCACGAAACACTTCATATTTGCAAAATCATGCACTTTCAACTCCTTTCCAGTCTTCCCCATATCACCTAAAAAGCAGAAACCAACCCACCAACACAGGAAGTGATCTCACCACACAGTTCAGATACACAGTAATGTGAGCATCATCTTGTACATAAACCAAGAGCCTTTACCTTCTCTGTACAATTTTCCTTGTATGTTGACAGAGCACTGGTATTTTAAAATTTAATCTCTTTGTAGAATTACCACCTTCATTCTATACTAAGAGGCCATAGACAATGGACACAATGGACTTCTGTTCTTTAGCTGGCAATACTAGAAAACAAATACAATGCATGACCTCTTCTATATCCTTAATACTGTAATAAATCTTACCTACTGCTTTTTCTTCTTGGACAGGGATTTTCCAGACCAGTGGCAGAAGTGACAGAAGGAGGGTCAGCAGTTCTTCCCGACATGTCAGCTCCTGTGTTCGGAAGGAAAAAAAAACAATCTTTTGTACTCTCCCCCCCCCCAAAAGATGAATCCTCCAGCTTATTTTAATAAGCTATAAACATTCAGTTCCCTGTGTCTTCTTGCTGTTCTATGCAGAACTGGAAAGACAACTTAATTGCAAAGAATGCTATAATCATTAACTGGAGCCAATCAGAAAACTTTTGAAGTATTTATTAAACTTTTTCAACTCTTCATATAAAAAGCTCTTCAAATCCTTTTTGTTGAACAAATTCCTCACCCACAACATAAGAAAACCAGGAAGTTAAAGTTGAAAGCAAATAATATAAGAAGATGATGGAAAATTCCAACAATTTACTGGTTGCTTTATGTCACTATCAGTATGGTTTCAGTGCTAGAAACAAAATAAAAAGAAATCCCCAACCCCCAATTCAGAACCATAAAAACCTGACCTGAGCATTTTTGTAGCTGACATCATTCAGTGACACACAGCTGAAGCAACAACTTTACCCAAAAATTCAAGATGCAAATAAATTAAGGTGTGTGAAGATGAGCAACAATTTTGGTAAGAAGCTGCAACATTATGTTAAGAAGCTTACACAACTTGCTTTTAACTGAAGATCAGAATTTGAGTGCCTTGAAATGTTTGCATACACTCTTATCTACTGAGATTTGAGATCCAGAGTCCTTAAAAAGGCACTTGCAAATGTTAAGAGGTAGAACAAAGTGAAAAACCTACTGTTAACTTCACAAGCCACCTAGTTAGAGATAATCTACTTGAAATATTTAAGTATTCTGTGCATGTTTCTTACTAAAATTTTAAGAAATTAAGATACTGAGCCAAATGACTCAGTAAGTTAAACTGATTATGGATGACAAAGCAGCATCAACTTCTTTTTGTCCAGAGATGTCGTAGAAGCCCTACCCCTGGAGACATTCAAGGTCAGACTGGACCAGGCTCTGAGCAACCTGACGTAGCTGTAGGGGTCCCTGTTCATTGCAGGGGAGTCAGACTAGAACATCTTTAAGGATCCCTTCCAACTGAAGGAATTCGATGATTCTACTTACATAAACATAAATACATTTCTTCATGCCAGTTAATTCACCTGGCTTGGTTCAATGATCACCTTAACACTGATATGACTCCTGATCATTCATTAAAAACAAACAAACAACCTTCTTCCTCTCAGCCTTTGAATAGAACCAGCATACAAAAGTTAGGTCTGCATATTCAAAAGATTGAACCAGAAATGCATCATAACCATCAAAAACCTCACTACAAATTATTAGGTTGATAACGAAATTTGAATTAGATGTGGTTTCACAAGTTCACTTGTATTTTTCCATTTTGGAATGGAAAAGAAAGATGTAGTAAATAGTGCAACAAATGAAAATAAAAATTGAAAGAACAAGGCAAATACATTTCAACCCAGTTTACTGAAAAGTCAAGTCTTAAAGTTTTGGAACCTTTTCTAGAAATAATACTGCCAATAATAGATGGGATTCCATGTATGGTGATAATTAGAAGGACTGAAAGATTTTAACACTACAATTAGAACAAACTCAAATATCCATCTCCCATTCACATCACAATCAGTGAAAAAAAGCCGCTCACAGAAATGCATTTATCTTCCTGCGAAGTGTTTTGTTGAAAGATGTATGCTTTTTTCTAAACAAACTGGAAGGGTGTACATTTTGACTTTATCGCTTCAAAGTAACAAATGCTGGTTTTTCACTACAGGTTAAGCAAGCAGACTAATTTCTCTCAAAAATTCTACCCAGCTGCCGAATTCAAGATTCACACAGCTTAACTAGATAGAAGTTTAATAGCCATCAGCATCAGCTGGCAAACAGGTATACGGTTAGCTATTTTTCTTTTGTGCTTGCAAAAGGACAGAACACAACAGTCAAGGCTCAATGCAAAAAGAAAAGCTTATAACCAGATAAGAAAAACTATTACCTGATCAATATTGGAGTTGAGTGTGCTAAGCAAAATAAACCCACGGCCTTGAACTAAGTACTGTCCCAGGGCAGCCATATGAGTTTCTTCCTCTTCATCGTCCTTGGCTTCTGCCCTCTGGACCACTGCATTGCACAGTCTGTTGACATCTGTCAAGAACTCCCGTGCCAGTGAGTTACTGGCACTGCTCATGTCTGAGCTGTAAGTAGAAAGCATGGAAAGTAAATTCACCAGAAAATATATTTCTTAAGAAAAAAAAAAGAGGCAGAAAAGGTCACTCCTTCCAACTGCCTCTTCTCTGAAGCATGGAGGATGTGTAGGACTGAGGAATCAATATACTAACATACAATGGAAGGGAACAGGAAAGATAAGCTTATTACAGTGAGACTTCAGCTAACAGCCAGTGATCCCAAACATTCATTTTATAAACCTATTAGGTAAGTCTAGGACACACAGCAGTCCTTCACATTGCAAACATGAAAGTTAATGATTTCATTCTTAACTTAAACCTAGATAAGATCTTGAATCTTTATCTGCTTCTGAAAGACAGCAAAGGTAGTAATTAAACAGCACTGCATAGGAAATGCAGTCAAATATTTTATCTGAATGTATTCAGTGTTCAGTATTCCAACAGTATACAGATTGTTTCAAGGGAGAAAAATCAAGGAATGGAGATAAACTTAGACTTCTGTTAATATAATAATTTTGATTTATTCTCCCTCCTCTCCCCCCAAGCACTTCCTTCAAAATAAGATTAAGTGAGTGGGTGGCAGTCACTATCATGTACTTAATTCAAGACATTTATTCTGATGCACATGTTCAGGAGAAAACACTAAAAGCATTGCTACCGACCCCAAACTAATTTTATTTTAGATAATATACACAAGGCACTCATGCACTTTGTATATTCATTATTACTAAGTAATGTTTCTGGTTCTCTTATATGAGAAATGTTCTCATCAGTCAGCACTAGCACGTGCTGAAAAGTTCAAAAAAAACAAGAAGCCAAAAGAAATGCAAGAGGCAGCCATAAAAAAGCTGATCAAGGGAGTCACTGGTGAAGGCAGAACAAAAGCAAGAATATTTAATCCACAGAAAATTCATTTAATGAATACTACAGCACGTTTAACTTCTTTTATTCCTGAATAAGCAACTCAAGTGAAATCTTCAAAACTCAAATACTTTCATCATCGAAGCCCAGAACTTCCAAGATGAGAGCCAAATGGCCTAAGGTCATGGAAATGTAATGAATGGTTTAGTACAGCATGATCAGATAGCATCTACATACAGGCATTAGGTCAAAAATGAGAGCTGTAAGAAAGAACAAGTTTGTTAGTGCTGATGGTGAAAAAGTTCTTTTAGTGGCAAGACTGAATACTTCACATATAATGACATTCTCTGAAGTAACAGAAAGACTCTTACCAGTATTACTTTGCCAGCTTAATACATTTAGCTTCTAATTGGAAGGAAAAGGAGATACACCCAGGAAACGTCACTCCCAGTTCACCTGTTTAGAAAAAGTGAAAATGCGTGATGTTTAATATGCAATTTTTTAAACAATTCATTCTGTGATAGCTATCTGAAGCTCCTTGAGGTTTGAGCTTTCAAGTTCTCTTTTTTTTTTTGTTATTACCCTGTCCACAAAATCCTATTACAGAGGAAGTAACTGGTGCATGGCAAGTCAACATAATATAATTATCTAGTTTTTAAAATGTAAGATGAATGAGGCATGCAAGTTTCAACATTTCCCTTTAGAAAAAATACAAATTCTTCAGTGCTGATTATCTGCATACATAATGCTTCACGCACCTGCAGGGCTGGGACAAGTAAAGCATATTAGGAGAAACTAAACTATGCATTTGCATCAGCACCTGACTGCACTTCAGTCCTGTCCCTTTGTTTTACCCTGGCAAACAACCCATCTTTATCACTTTAAGATGGGAAGATCGTATATGTACATGTCTGTGGTGCTTGGGAAGCTGCAATTAATAGAACTGGAAAGGAAGAATTGGTATTGTGCCTGCTTTGCTCTTTGTCTCCAGAGAGCACAGTGAAGCAGTATCAAGTTCTTTTCTCCCTCTCATGCCTCTAACCCACTCCAGTACTAACAGAGGATACAAAGAGGCAACAAATCAGTGTTCCTCAGCATACCTTACACTTCCCAAGTTTTGAGCTGTAATTAGTAGTGAAGAAGAGACCAAGAGGGAAAATCTCCTAATTCACTCCAGAAGGTCCAGAAATAGCAAGTCCATTACCCCAAGCAAATGGAACATGTAAATGCGTCAACAAAACACATACAGCAGCCTTGTTTCTGTGAACTCTGTGTGAAGGGCAAATATCATCTCCACGACGACACAAGGAAAATTATTGCTATGCATAATAAGCATTCATACAGCCCCGACATGCAGCATTCTGCGCTGTAAGCTAAGCTGTCAAAGGACTTAATTTTTTCTATTTGAAAACTTGGAATTTCTAGTTAGTAAGGTTTCTTCACACATCTTCAGAGTAGATTCAGCCTATGGAAAAAAAAAAAATAATCTTTCTTATTTTTACTTAAGCAAGACTGAAAAGCTCCTTAAATATACTTAAAGCTCTAATGCATGGTTTCCTCTGACTGGTTAAATATTTTCTCTGCTGTCTCCTAAAAGGGATACCAGTAATTAGAGAGACAGCGTTTATTACTACAATCTCTCAACATGTGCTACTATTGTTCCCAAATCTTGTTCCAGGGCTAATTATTTTGCTATTCTATGGTACCAGAACTCCTTATCTGTCTCCTTCATAGTTAACATTTTCATATATATACACATAACTGCATCCAATTTTTAGCAAAGCTTTACACCTCTCAGAAGTTGTACCTAGCACACAGACATGTACATATACGAACTGTCCAAACATACGCTTATTCCAGTGTCCACAAACTGAGGCACTTCAGCTGCAAGCTGATATAAACATCAAAAATCCTGTTCTCTGGAGGGGTTAAGAGTCAGAAAGGCGTTTGTTAGCAGTAGAAATGTGAAGGATCTAATCAAGAAAAGCCCCCAAATCATTCAACTACAAAGGTCTCTAGGTGAGTGCTCGAAAGACACGTTCAGAATTGTGGATAGAAAAAAAAAGAAGAGATGAGGATAGTAAATCAAAAAAGAAAAGGATAAATTTATGACTGCAGCACTCACAGAAATTAAAGGAAAACTTGGTCAAATTAGCCTTACAACTGTGACAGAGTATGAACATTGGGTAAAAGACTTCTATGGGCTTCTTTGTAATTGGCTCCCTTTTGAGTGCCTGGAGCAACACATTTCAACTAGAGCCTTGCAGAACATCAACTTATCCTTACAGCTCATCCCAACTGAACGCCTTGAGCAACTCACAGATTTTTACACTTGCAGCAGACTTTATTGAAAGACGTGAAAGCTATGCTGTTTGCTGAAACTTCAGTCTCCAAACTTCCCACACTGTGTGCACTGTTCCAAGGATTAACAAATTGGCAATGCTCCACCACAAGGGTGCATTCTCAACATCACTAGTAAGAGAAAGCACTATTTTATTAATTCCAATTGCAAAAAGATGTCAAGCATGCTTTTTTAATGCACAAAGTTCATATGTAATTGGTAAGGAAATAAGATACCTTCATTCTACACCACAGAAAATTTATGGCTACCAGGCCAGATAACAAAGCACTATTGTTTAGATGGATTTGTTGGAACAAGCATTAGCTGCTTCTTACTTGTACCTATTTCTTTCCCTTCAGTCAAGAATCACAGAATGCCTTGGGTTGGAAGGACCCTAAGGAACACAGAGTTCTAAGTCCCTGTCACAGGCAGGGCCACCAACTTCTACATTCAATACTAGAAGAGGCTGCCCAGGGCCACATCCAACCTGGCTTTGAACACCTCCAGGAAAGGGGCAACCACAGGCTCTCCGGGCAGCCTGTCCCAGCACCTCACCACTCTCTCCACAAAATATTCCCCCAACATCTAATCTAGATCTCTCCTCCTTTAGTTTCAAACCATTCCCCCTTGTCCTGTCACTAAACAGACTCACTGCACACACATCCTTGGAAATGCAGCTTCAAACTTAAATCACAGAATCACAGAATGGCCAGGGTTGGAAGGGACCTCAAGGATCATGAATCTCCAACCCCCCTGCCACATGCAGGGCCACCACCATTCCACCTAATGCTAGACCAGACTGCCCAGGGCCCCATCCAATCTGGCTTTGAACACCTCCAGGGATGGGGCATCCACAACCTCCCTGGGCAGCCTGTTACTTAACCTCATTGTTCATCCTGTCTTAAAGTATGTTCATTGTTCCAGCCTGCTTATCACCTTCCCCTTCTTTTACAGATTGCAGCACACTGACACTGCACCCACATGGCATGGAATTTCTTCTTACTTAGAAAGCGTGTCACCTAATTCACTTTAGGTAGAGACAGTGCTACAATTTTTTTTTTTCCTTAAAATGACATATCCTTAATTGCCATGATGCCTGGTAATACAGAAATAGATGCTGTGCAAAACACCAGTACTGAGGTAAAGTGTCTTCACCCAGATTTGAACTTCAGAGAACACACATCAGAGGAAAAAGTAACCCAAAATAAATGACAGGAACTAGGCCATGAGAGAACAGCAAGAAACCTACCAGAATCTCAATTCAGCACTGCTGTGCACAAGTGTAATGGGATTGCTACAGTTCTGGAAGACAATGTGTCAGGACTTCCTATTGCTAGTCCTGAAATAAATGCACATCACAGAATCACAAATGGCCAGGGTTGGAAGGGACCTCAAGGATCATGAATCTCCAAACCCCCTGCCACACGCAGGGCCACCAACCTCCACATTTAATACTAGACCAGGCTGCCCAGGGCCCCACCCAATCTGGCCTTGAACAGCTCAGGGACGGGGCATCCACAACCTCTGGGCAGCCTGTTCACCACTCTCTGTAAAGAACTTCCCTCTGACATCCAACCTAAATCTTCCCTCCCTCAACTTCAAACCATTTCCTCTTGTCCTGCAGTTATCAACCCTTTCAGAGAGTTGATTCCCCTCCTGTTTGTAGGCTCCCTTTAGATACTGAAATAATATCCTTACATTCCATTTCACCTCCTAGAATACGAAGATTGTATTTCATAAAAAAATCTCTAAAATAATATCCACTTCTGAGAGAAGATATTCACAAGCATTTAAGCGAACAAATCGCTTATGCTGTGAATGACCCAGTGTTCATATGTAATCTCTTCACATCCATCTTTACACCATCCTCAACTCAATTGCTACCACTTCTGCCCTCAAGGGCCTTTCTGTACCAGCTCTCAAGGGCTACATTTTCTATTTACTGTCGTGGTACAGATCAACTTACCTGCAATTGAAACTCATGGTTTCTACTGACTTCATTCTATTTTCATGAAGTTGCTCATCACTTTGAGCATTTTTAAGTATAGGAATGCTTTGTACTTTGGTGGGCTTTACATCTTTGAAAGACAATAGCAAAAGCATTCCTTAAATAATTTAAACCACAGTAGAACTTGAGACCAAGTTCAGCATTGAATATGGGTCATGAGCATACACACTTCATACAGTGCTACAGATCAGATAGTGTTATCTCTGGCATCAGTGCAATGTGGGGGAATGACAAAAAAAAATTAAGGAACTTGTGGCCAGAGCTATTACTGTGTGAATTTTGCCTTGTACTTGGTTATCCTTTCAGCAACACACTGCCCAGAAAGATCTGGAAAGTCCAGTAATGTAATAAAAATACTAATTATCAAAGAATTATAGCAACATTATAATAAAATTATACACTAAGCCAAATTAGATCAAAATGCCATAATATGATTTCAAATAATAACATTCTGTAACTGTTGTCCAACAGCCACAGCAAGGGTTAGAGTGAGACAAAGTTTGGTGCTGGTCTCTAGATGAACACAAGATCCCAAATTAGACCTCTAACAGGTATTTTTTCACTATTAATTCTACAGAACTAGCAAAGGAAAGCAAGTAATATACTACTGAAATCTCCTCTATGTGTTATGAGGTAGATGTCAAATTCCTACCAATCAGAGGCTGGTAAAGGTCAGCCCAAAATGACCACACCAAGGACTACTCATATAGCTGCACTGTCAGGCTACAGTGTCTGAGTAAAACAGGAGCTGTACATACAGAGCAGGTGTGGATGACAGGCAGGAACCACTTGAAAGCCTGGATTTCCTGTAGCCCATTGTTATCTTCATGAAAAACACCTTGTATGCAAGTTTATATGTGGTATAACCTGGCTGTACACTGCACTGAAGGAGTGTTAGCCATGTTTATAAGAAAAAGAATAATCTTAGGAGAAGTTCTATCACTAACCATGCAAACAAAGAGTAGAGTGTCTGGCACACGAAGCCAGCCATTTGTTTACCCTCCTCAATACTCTGTTCCAGATAAGAGACAAATGCTGCCCAAACCTTACACAAAGACACAGCTGCGAGTTCTTTGTTGAGTACAGAGTACAGTGGGGTTACACTGT